TAGGAAATAAAACTGATACTGTGACGAGAAAGATCCCTTGGGATGCAATCATGAGGATATGTTGAGGCTGTCAGGAGCTGAAGTAGACAAAATACTTTCATGGCTGTGAAAAGGACAAGTTGAGAATGAAGAGGAAGTAGAGAGGTTGGTAATAGTCATTCAGCTTGTTAATTCTGCATGTTAATTATGCTCTCTTTGGAATGTATGGGCAGGAGCCCATGCAGAAAGAAGTAGAAGCAACAGGCAGCACATAGATTGTCTTCTTGGGGAGTGGGATTTTATTTAAATAGAAGAGTGAAGTTTAATATTGTCAGTTTATTGTACTGAAGGCAAGCTATCTACAGCGTTTCCATCATGCATGCTTTTCAGTGATGGGTCAGAAAGAGGAGCAGAGAAAGTAGGGATGAGGTTTGAAAGGTCTGAAAGCAGATGACAACTCATCAAAGCTAATGTACCAGAAAATATGAAAAGTTCGAGTGTCAATGCGAGGGAAAATGAGCAAATGCTGAAAGAGATCAGATGAAGGTTGAAGAGGAAGAAAGTGGCTATAAAAAAAAATCAGAGAGTGCTGCTTGATAAAATCACTCATGGGAAAGATACCAGTGATGAAAAGAATGAACCAAGACTGAAATTTGTAGAGATATGAAACCAAAGAAATACTCACTTAAGGGTTGGATGTATCATCCTTGTAGGAGTTGAAGTGGTTATGGATGAGTGGGGAAGACTGCAGGACAGAGAATTAGCAAGACTTTAAAGAAGGTTGATAGGTGTGATAAGATGTAACAGCAAAATTAATAGGAAGAGAAGCATCAGATGCAGTTTACTCGAAAACTGGGAGAAAAGTTGCAAGAAGAAAAGATGCAGAGAGAAGCCTGACAAATCAAACACAGGTGGGTTAAGTTGGAGAATATGAAAGTAAGCAAGAAGGGACAAAAAGAATTTAAAATAACTGGGAAGTGATGGGATAACTATTTCAGGCTGTCTTCCCAGAGTATGCAGAAGTGTCCTCATCACAGAAACCATTTCATGCAGGTATTCAAGTCAGTCATTTATTTCTATGATATCAGGCCATATGTTGCAGTATTTTTGTGTTGTTTCCTTTTATAGAATGGTATGACAAAAAGTACCTGTACTGACACTAGTTACATGTCAATCACCAGATGGCATTTTGAATGGAAAGGAACAAATCAAAACAAAAATCTATTTTTAATGGATATTCAAGAATGATTTCATCAGAATACTCTTAGAACAAATAATGTTCTGTAGAAATGTGTGTGTGTGTTAGTCTGGTAGATTAGGATTTAGGAGCTCTAAAGATGAGCAGTTAAACTGTTACCACCTCTGTGACTAATATAAAATGATTCACATCTATCTAAGTTGCATATTGATTGGAGATTGGACTGCAGGAATATAAATGCCTTTAGAAGCCTTCATATGCCAAATGCATCAACTGTTTGGCCAGAAAACCAGTATGTCTGAGAAACAGCCCCCTAAATCCACTGAGAAAGGACAGCTGAGCTAGAAACACTCATAATTTAAGGAAACATCATATTAACTGGACTGTTCCTACTGGGAAAGGCTTTGAAAGTTCTTTATTATTTGCTTTGTATGCTCAGATATATTGCTTTAATTTGTTTCTTTGCATTTTTGTACAATTTATACTATGCTCTTCCCTGAGCCCTTTAATGTGCTTTGTCTAATCTTGTATCTTTTACACTATAGCCACTCAAGATTATCCACCAAATAACATAGTCCCAGTACTTTACATGTGCACTGTAAGGCAAGGCTTGTGTGGAAACACACCCTCTGGGTTATAATTCAGGCAGCTCCAAAACTGCACATATTCTGGGATCTACTTTTTTGCAGTTCCTATTAGCTGGCATTGCCCAAGCTTTGGTTATTATGCACAGAATTTAAGAGCTGTGGTGCACCTCACCACTGCAGACAGCAAAGCTACTTCTAGAAAATGGAAAATGAATTCCTAGTCAACTCTGGACAAAAAACCCCACCCAAGAATAAAGGGTTTGTAATTTAAGTTTTTTCTGGAGAAAGTACAGCTGGTAGTCTGTAGAGATAAAAATCTAATGTATTTAAAAATGAAAACAATTTCCAGTGTCAGAACTCTTTCTCATTTTTCTTTCCCCTTTTATGTCACTGTAGTCATGCTCAAAGACAGGCCATTAATACTACTTACAGTGAGCGATGGTCATTTCAGCTGCAAGGGTGAGGTCACTGATTTATGGAGGTTATAGCTGAATTTGGGAACATGAGATGATGGAAGAAAGTTGACTGACTATTTTTTGTGTAATTTGAGCATATGGGCTTCCCTTTAAACAAGGATTTTTGAAATTGTGCTCCAGCAGCCTTTACAGGAACCATCAGTTGCAGCTGAGGAGCAGGACTGATGTTGAATAGGAGTCAGAAAAAAGGGTGGAGGGGGAAACAAATGGCATAAACCAGACTAATGTAGTCTGAACAGGGGCTAACAGTATTCCAAGGTAATGGAATAATCTGGTTATAATTAGTGAATACAAAAAATGGAAATGAATATGGAAAATATTTTTATAGAAAAACTAACAACAAAATGTTCATTGTTTATATATATGTAAATACTTGAGATGGAAATAAAAGATGCATAAGTAGTAATAGTAATTTTAAGTATGGTCAAGTTTTAATTAGGAAGGCAGGTATTTTATGTTGCTCTGAGGCACTGGAGTGACCATGGGCAGACTCTGCTGATGTGGCGTAACATTAGCGACAGAAGACACAGCAACCCACTATTTGCAGTGTAAGATTGATATAGCCTTTGGAATCTATAGATTTAAGATAAGTGCTTAATTTTCTTTCCTTATAAATAACATAAGCAATGGAGTTAGTGTTTCTCACAGCTGTCCACTTGTCCACTCATAGTCCATCCATAGTACCTCAAGCCACCACTGTACCCTTGCGATCTATATATGACTGCAGGAGATCTCAGCATTGCCTCAGGCATGTCACAAACCTTTAATGACTAGGAAACATTATTAAAAATAATTATTTGATTCCTAGCTCTGAAGAATCTCAACCAGTATTGCTCCAGTATAAAAAGGGGAAATGCATTTCTTTATCTTATCCTTATTACCTGTGAAGAGAGAAGATGTCAAGGTGAAGCTTATATGTAAATGGGTTTTCTGATCTTAACTGACAGAACTATTTTGGTGTAAGGCAAGAAACCTGCAGCAAGACTTGCCAGTGTGATTGTTAAGCTGAAGCCTAGACTCAATGTCCAATTTATATTCCACGAAGAACTATTTATGAGGAGCTATCATTTTAGCAGATACAAACTGTTGTACAGATGAAGCACATCATCTCAGCAGCTGCCTATATCTGCTCTGGGAAGAAATAAGGCTAAGCTGTTAAACCCTTGCTTTGATCTAGTATATGGATGTAGAAACTCATTAAATGTATTTTATATTTGCTTGAGCATAGAAACACCATTACTTGCCATTTGTGATGAGATAGCTTTAAAAAACTTCAGGGACATAAATGTTAAGGGATTCCAAGCAGCCTTAAAAAATGTCAGTGTGATGTATTCACTCCTTCTGTATGTGTAATGGTCACTGTTGCTGAGATCACTTGCTATGTCCATTCTTGCCTGGTGTGTAAAGCCCTTACTACAATGGTGCAAGAGCAGTCATCTCTCTCAGGACTGAAGCTGGGATTCCAGCTGTAGCAAGTCAGGCTGTCTCCCGTGCTGGTGTCTGTGTTGGCAATGCTGCCTACAAGTAATGCACCATCTGATGGTTTGTTTTCCAGGCTGGTTTATTTGAGAACCCAAAGACCAACAAATGAGAAGAGACAGAGACAAAATATGGTTGGTAGAAACAGGCAGGTGCTCTTTATTTCATGTGGCACAGCATTAGGCAGACAACCCAAGAAACAGTTTCTAACAAAAGCCAAATCTATCACTTCCAGGAACCATCCCCCAAACAAGGGTCTACCACCAGCAGTGGCACTGCGATGTCCTTGCCTGTCCACTCTCATCTCCTCATAGTTTATATGCACTTAGGCAGTATCTTAGTGGTGAGCATCCTTTCCAAGGAGACTAACTTCTTACAATGCAATATCTTTAGACAGCATACATACTGTGCAGGATCACCAGAGTACAATCTCCTCAAGCCATGCTAAAATATAATGCTAACTCTGGAGAGAAGGCTGCGCGATGGTCTCGTGTCTCTCTGAGGTAATACAATGCTGTTTCTTAGCTGACAACATGAGGGGCACCTGAGGGAGGATCAATATGGCTTCAGAGTCTATTTTTAAACTCTGATGCAATAGCGAGGACCTGGTGTGCCATCGGCCGAGACAGGGTGAGGACCTTCCTCCACCCCCGACCACCGCTGGGCACCAGGGAGCAGCACCAGAGAGCTGAGCCTACTGTCACTCAGGGGGATGAGAGCAGAGATGGTCTTGGACTAGGAGGAGGAGGAGAGGGCCACCAAAGATCACAGCAGACCGTCAGCTTTGCATCGGTCATTAGGCGAGAGGTGACAATGACAGCGGTGTGGGGAGGGGTTACATCGTTAGCACTCCAGATTTAAAGGCATGAAGAATGGCTGGTGGAAGGAAGATGCTTTGGAGACTAAGGGCAAAGCTTTAAAAGCCTTGGGATATTACTTTTAATTATCTACAGGTTATTCTCTCTATATATACTATTTTTTCTTTCTAAATTATGAAAATAAACATTTATTAACAAGTCACTGGGTCAAATCCTGCTCTCCACTGAAGGCAAATCCATTGACTTCAATGGGAGGGAGCCCCGTGTAAACAACGAAGGGCAATTTTGGCCCTTTATGTCCTGAAAAGTCTGCTTGTACCCATTGTCTTTCAATCCTGCAAGGAAATACAGACTGAAGGGTGAACTAATCGTTACAAATTTCTCTTAAACTACCAAGGGAGTGTCAGTGAGATGTGGCAAGGGAGCAAAAAGAAAAAAAAAAAGGTGGAACCAGTAAGTAATACTTCTTTAAAGAGTATTTTATCCATATTTCAGAGCCAAAGTACAAAAAGAGAGTGGATCTGGATCAAGTGCTATTGGCCTTTACTTTCTAAGCAACAACAAAATTCTTCATTTAGCTTCGGTGAAATGTTACACAACCAGAGAAAGCAGAAGGAGCCAAACAGTCCTTTTCCTTCACAAACATCATATGCCCAAAGATGAACACTGTCACCCCTTCGGATTCTCTGCTAACTCCCACTGTCTGCACAGTGCAGTGTCAGCCACTGAAGACAAAACACATCTACTGTGCACATGAGTAAAACCTGTGGTGTCTTACAAACATAACATTTTGATGTTTTGAATACTAAAGACCACTAGGTGCTTTTAGACACAGAACAATACAATTTCAGATGCATTTACCACTTTTATTTCACTATGCAGAAACATACATTCACCATGTGTTGTGATGCAGCTGACAGTGTAATGGATGCTATCCCTTCCGTGGGTATTAGAGCTGGACACTAGCGAGTTTTCAGTGGACGTTCTGTACAGGTTAAGGCTTGACTCAGAACTAGATAGTAAATGCTGACCAGATTCTCAAACAGATTTTTTTTTCCTCTGAGAACAAAAGGGAAATCAATAGAAAACCATCACGGTTATTTCAGATTAATAATTTTCTAAAGCTGCAAACTAAGTAAAATACAGATTTTTTTTTTCTCCAAAATAACTACATATAATTTACAAGGTTAGGATCTGTGAAGGGTGACTGGAAGCTGACTCTGAACAATGCTGACAAAAATCATTAAAGTTAATATACTAAAATCATTACTACCTCATAAGGTATTCAGTCAGGTATACAAAGCACACTTTGTAAGCATTTATATGTTTTGATAAGAGTAAAGATTCATCATTGTTTATCGGGCAGTAATAAAACCAGATGAAACAAATATAAGATTCAAGTTGTTTACTGAATAAACTGTGTTATTGGCACATCTAATGTGTGATAAAACATTATACACAGTACCTATACAGCCTCTAGTATTTGGGGGGTAATCTTCATTTACAATATCTGTAAACAAAAGGCTTGCCACCTAACAAATTTTAATTTGTTTAGACTTTCAGAAACCGTGAAAGGCATGAACTGTTTATGTGTTACATGAGATCACTGTTTATATTGTTTATGAACGTGCAGGTAAAGCTGAAAACTTAGACATTTTAAGAAAATTAAAAATGCTGCTTTTCTGTAATTTTATTGTTGCTTCATGCAATATTGTTTAACTGCTGCTGATTCAGATTGCTTTCTATGGGAAGGTATCTCTGCCAGTTTCTTTATTAACGGTCAAGATCAATTCTTCTGTACTGAAATTTTCCATAGACAGATACAAGTCAGTCAGGTTGGAACTGAGACTCCGTATAGGCTCTCGTATTCCTACTGGTATGCATGTCTGGATTCATATGCATTCTAGGTTATTCCTGCAGAAAAGAGAACTCAGTTAATTATTCAAAGCAACTACTCTCTTGCAAAAGAGTTTTTGTCAATTTGTTCATATAAGAAAAGCTGTTTGAAAATGGCATCATCCCAATATAGGCAACTTGGACCAAATCCAAAGTCCACTGATGCCAATGGAAAGAATTAGTGACATCAATAGACTTTTAAGCAAGCCACATTGAGCTGTCTCTGAAACAATTAGCAGAATACCACAAGAATCACAGCTACTCACTCCTTAGTGACTGGTTCCATCTTCCAAATAAATAACTGACACTGAAATTCAGTTTTCTTTAGGGTCTGTATATCCAAAAGCAGGAGAGCCAAAGAGCTTCAAAAGGTGCTGTGCATTATACTCTGTTACTTACACCAAGTGCTAGGGAATACATATTGTTTTAAGAATAAAATGCTGCTATCGATTCAACAAATCTGACAAGCAGCTTTTTCTTCCCCTTCTGCATACAGCATTCAAAGCAATTTGTGCAATGGTGCTGGCATTAAAAGCTTTTGCATAGCAGGTTAGTATGTATGACATGTTTCTGCACACAGAATAAATATAGGAATATTGAGATGTCTGTTTAGCCAGCCACTATTGGAGAGCATGCCTTTACTGAGAAAAAGCTAGACACAAGGAAAGCTGCATTATCATCTCATCCTGATAAACAATGCTGCTTTAAAACATTAAATGCTCTTTCAAGTACAAGAAAGCCAAGACACCCAAATACCGACAAACTAATTCACTGCGTTTAAAAGCAAGTTGGACCATATCTTTGCAAGTTGGGAATTGAAGCATAATTTTTAACATATCTGCACAAGACATTTAAAAAGCAGCTGTAAGTTTTTCCCTTGGCATTTTTAAACCAAAATGCACACCTTTAAGAACAAATTGTTTTTGTTCTTAAATGACACAAAAGCAGACAACAGATTTTTTTATGACTTCAGAAGTAGAAAATTAGACTATAACAAAGCATGGACAATGAGGACTTTTCGGAGAGCTAACGAAAGCAAATGAGTAGTTTCTCTTTCTCCAGCTGGCATTGTTTAATGAAGGCAGATGTCTAGAGCTGAATGTAGTTTACTTTCAAATATCAGAACTGATAAGCAGCAACTTGAAAATGCCAGTGAGAGAAAGTGAAGAGTTAAAGGTGAAATATGGTAGGAAAATAACATCTGCAACATGCCAGCCCAGTAAATGCCTAGGAAAATCATCTGTTCCTCTTACCTGTGGTCAATCCTCCCCATCTTCTGGTGTGATTTCTGTCTCTTTATGTACCACTACTTTGGTCACTGACATGTCAGGGTGCTGCTCTTTGGCTTCTTTAATTGCCTGAGCCAGCGCCTATCCCAAGGAAACCACAGAAGGGCAAAAACAAAAAGGAGGTGGAACATGCATGATCAGTAGCAAGGTGGAGAGATTCATGACATATTACACAATTTACAAATGAGGAAAATGATTAAAATATGAAATATACCATCACTGATTTAACTAATATTCCAGCTTAATTTAAGGCAAGCCAGTATGAATAATATCTGTCAAAGCAATGTTTAGAAATGCTCTCTTTGGTGGTCTTCAGGGTAGCCTTTTTAGCAGTTGTAGATTTTACCTGATCATGATCAATATCTGCATCTCCTGTGATGACTATTCGTTTTTCAATTCTTGTCTCTGAGATGCCTCCTTTCACAGTCTAGATGGGAGGGACAAAAATGCATGTGAGTAACTTACTTTAGAGTGCTGCTACTCATCCCCAGAGTGATCAGTGCAGGAACCCTCTCATGACTGGACTGAAATGGCTCAAACAGCTTGCTCAGAGGGGACAACCCTGGACTGCAAGTGAGCAGCTCTGGAGTTGGCCTGAATGCTCTGAATGGACTAATGACCTCCAGATGTCCTTCCAACACAGTTGATTTTACAATTATAGTTAATCTGCACATGCATCAAGAGAGATGTTTGTATGTCAAACAGCCCATATTCAGACTGATTTAAGTCCAACTGCTTGCTTCAGAACGGCATATGGGATGATACGGCCTTTGTATGCCTCATCTACTAATGGGGGAATTTTACTGCAGAAAGATGAAATCCTGTTCTCAGTGAATATTGGTAGGAGACCTGTCACAGCACTAAGAGGGTTTCTACTTAGGGAGGAACCGTTTTTTAAATGCTCCCTTAGAACCTGGAAGACACAGCATGGCTTGTCTGTGCAGATGAGCTTTCAGTCTGGCTGTGGGCAAGCTCCTCAGGGTACCACCCAGAAACGCAGCCAAGGTGTTGGAGCTGACTGAATGTCCTGTTATGGCTACAGGATACAGATTCACTATGTGCTTTCAACACTGTGCAGTGCTAATATCTCAGGGCTGAAAGGCATAGTCCTGTCAATGGAGACTCATGTTCAGACAAGTTATTCCTTCCAGGCTAACATTTGATACCAATGTGGTTATACTCTTTCCAGTTCCAAGTAGTATTGGCAGCTAAATCAAATGTCTCTGTACAGCAAGGTTTTGTGCTTGCATAGAGATACCCTAAGGGTTTAGGATTTGTGTCAAGTCATTGATGATAATCAACTCAGCGTAGCCAAAGACAGGTGAATAAAGACAAGTATTTATGGTAAATGTACAACATTTTGTCAAGAGAGTATCAGAATGTGTTCCCTTTTTGAAATAAATCATAGAAGCAAAGCTAAGATAGCATACACCCTGGTGAAAATGGAGGTCCCTGTCTTCTGAGGACTCACTTTGGTGATATGTGTAGTAGTTGTAGTGCTGGTGGTTTCAGATGTGATAGTTTGTGCACTCATCAATACACCTGGTTCAGAGTCAGCACCGCAATCCACCTAGTAACCAGAAGAGAAAAACCGTCACTGAAAAAATGCTCCTGAGCACAGGGAGGCAAGAACTGGACTGTTAAACTTCCCTATTTCTACAGTTCATCATAAAGTGAGTATCCTATGGTAGGGGACAATTGCTATTAGGGCAATTATGTGTCAGTATTTCCCTGTGCATCTGGAGGCTGTCCTTCCACTCCGGAAGCACAGATGAGAAGATGGCACTTTTACATCTGATGTTTCATCAGTTCATGAAAGACCTTACACCAGGACATGAGAGTTACACTCAGGTAAGTTATTCTTATGTACATCTTCCTCATGCTAATATTGAATATTTGAACAACTTAGAAAAGTTTACACTAAAGTATACACTTAAAGATGGGTGAAGAAATGGGTTCCTTAAAGGCACATGAAATTAGACCATGTCTTTTGCAGAATTTCTTACCTGAGAAGACTCATATGTAATAGTTTTTGTTTCTGTATGGACTACTGGCACTTCCTTTGTTGAAATTTCAAGGGTTTCCCCACCAGCAGGAACACTGCTGAAACTTATAGTCTCAGTCTTCACAACTGGCGACTGCGTGAAAAAAATAGAAAGAATGGAACATTTAGCAATGCTTATGGACTTCTCAGAATAATTTTTTTTTTTTTGCTTGGGGCAAAGAAACAATAACTAAGGAGTGCTCTGCATTTAACAACAAAAAAAAAAGAGAGAGAGAGAGAGAGAAAATTCTCTAAATTAGAGTGGTACATTCATGCATATAATGCTGGCGAAATTTAGCACTTCTCTGGATTTTAACAAAGTCCAAAATGTTCTAAATACTACAAGAGGCAATGGTCACAACTTGAAAAACAGGAGGTTCCCTGTGAACATCCGGAAACACTTTTTCACTGTAAGAGTGACTGAACACTGGCACAGGTTGCCCAAGGATATTGTGGTGTGTCCTTCTTTGAAGATACTCAAAAGAAGCTCTCTGGACTTGGTCCTGGGCAGCAACTCACTCTGGATATCCCTGCCTGATGAGAGGATTGGAACAGATGACCTCCAGAGGGCCCTTCTAGCCTCAACTGTTCTGAGAATCTGTGACTCTACATTTTCTTAAAATGACAAGAGAATGAATTCTGTCCAGGCTTAGTATTTTCTTCTCCTAGGAAAAAACCATGCACAAAACAGTTCTTGAAATTCCACTAATGGGGCTAAAGTAAGGAACCTGGTCTGTTTAAGACACAGTACACTTATTTATAATTGCACCAAGCATGGAAAAAACAATCAATTTCCTGTCTTTGAGGACACACAAACTTTGCCAGCCTCGATGGACTTTGCCAAACAGAATGCCAGCTGATTTTCTGCTGCATAAAATTGAATAAAATTTGCTATTTCTCTGTAGCATGAAAATCAGTTTCAAGGAAAACATGCATGGTGTTTTGCTAATGATGGAAATCAGCAGCAAGCCTTGCAGGTGACATGCAAGGAGGAAATAAGAGGAGAAAAAAAACACTTTCTGTAAGTGCAATCATACAAACTGGACACACTTTACTTTAAATGACAGGAATTAGCTTATCCCACTATTGCCTATATTCACAGTTCAGCACAGACATGACCAGTTTAACAACAAGTTACCTCAAAATGAGGTTTTCTTTCCAAAGACTCTGAAAGTTGGACTGTTGTTCTGTGCTCCTCCGCCTGCTCACTCGAAGCAGCGGCAGCGACTCCTTCCAGTTTGGTTTGGGCTTTCCCAGCCTCCTCCCTTTTTTCCTCCTTCGCCCCCTCAGTCCCAGCAGAGCCCTCCTTCCCTTTCACGCCAGCAGCCACCGCCGATGCTGCCTCAGCCTGGGCATCCAGCGTAAGTCCGGCCACTTTAGCAGGATCCCCGCCTGCATGCACCTCCATCCCATGTCTCTCCTTGACCACTACAGTCTCCTGTACAACCTTCTGCACTGCATCCTGATCCGGCTGAACTGCTTGCTTCATGTCACTGGAAGTTATCTCCTGAGACGTCGTCGTTTCTATTCTCTGCAGGGAAGGAGGAAAAAAACCCTCAGCATCAGAAGCGGACAACACTATTTGCAGTAGTGCCCAAGCTGAATGTACTGTGAACATAAATTTTAAAAAACGGGCATTATATTTTGCCAAGTTATTTCTCCCACAGTGCATGGATTTTTGTTCTCGTGATGTTATCAGTATAGCAGAAATGGAAAACAAAACAAGAATAAAAATTTTTAAAAGTGAAATTCCCATGTCTGTGTTCTTCTCATTGGTATTTTTGTGTGAGTTTTGCAAAGGCAAAATACAGCACCCTGCAAAATGACCAAAATAAAATGAAATGAAAGAAAACCTGGCTGTTGCTTTTCTTTCCCCTCCCCCCCTCTTTTTGTTGAAGTTTCTGTTGTGCTCCATTGTAACAAAATAAAACACAAATGAATACATGCATTAGTTATACAGTTCCATGTTGTGCAAAAACCAGGAAAAAATAGAAAAGCAAAAGTAATTGGTGTGTGGTTATGACATCGATGGAGGGAATCAAGCAGCCACCTGAGCCCAGCTATGAGAAGTAGAAGTAACCCCTCCTATGAACTCAGTCGGTTTTCTGGCGGACTCTATAAAAGTGAAGATATCTGAACCATCCAAGGTTTTTTCACTGGTGGACTGTTTAGTCTAAATAGATAAAGAAATGTAGAGTCATACACAGAAAAAAAGGCAGACTCATATGCACAGACATATTAATTGCCAAAACCAGAGGCGGAGACAGAGGAAAAGGAGAGAAGGTTGCAGGGGCACGGAGAAGTTGGAAACAGGAAAAGAATGGGAAAATAAATCAGAGCAAATTCATAATAGCTGTAGTGAGCAATTGTTACAAAGCATAGTTGTTAGCATTGGCGTTTTGCTGGTTCAAGCAAACCTTTTTTTTTTTCCTTTCATTAACAAGCCACAGCAGCAATACTGAATTTCAGTACATAAACCAGAAAGGTTGAAAGCCTTATATAATGTCTGCTTCAGACTGTGAGACGGATTCAAAGTATGAGAGAAAAAAAATAAGCTGGGTTGGCTGCTGTCAACATAAAGCCAGGCAGCAAGAGAACCAAAAGCTAGGGTGGTGTGAAGGGATTGCCTAAAAGAAGTCATGCTTTTATCTTTAAATTGTGGCATGAAGTCAAAGCCACTTGTTACCACTACTTTTGATGCAGACGACTCAGTAACATAGTGAGCAGTAGCAATGGTAAATGGCTGTTCTCTGGAATATCTCCACTCAGACAGGCTCTTATCTGTCCGGGAAAACGCCCCTGCTTTTACAGCTTCTCCGCCAAGATGTTTTTCTGCTTTGCCAAGCTGTAAGCTTCCCAGTGTACCAAGTAACTGCAAATCCTGGTCCATCCTTAGTGTCTTTTTCAAACTCTCCTCTTCGGGACTTTGCAACTGAGATTCTGCTTCCTTTATGGGTGTCAGAGAGTCAGACAGCTTTCTTCTCGTGCTCTGCACATCGGATCCCCGCCTGGCTTTCTCATCAGTGACAGGCTTGAGAATTTCATACTTGGTCACTGTTGGAACGATTTTCACAGAGTCTTGCACTTCCCTTTCCAGTTTTTGCAAAGTTTCTATGGAAGGCTGTACTGCTTTCTCACCCTCTTTAGCTTTACTTGTCATAGTTACAATTTTCCCAGATACAGTATCATAGGACTTTCCTAGGGTGAACATTTTCTGCTTATTTTCCTCATTGGATTGTATTTCACTTTCCAAGTCCTCAAAGCTCTGCGTTAGAAGGGTACTGGATTTTAATATTTCAGGTGGAAAGGCAGTTTTACTGCTCACAGTCACTACTTTGTATGCCAGAATTTTTTCCGATTCAGCATCAACTACCTCAGAGGGTATTTTGTCTATAATAACCCAATCCTCAGTGCCCTATATTTGAGATATAAAAGCTAAATTAGAATCTCTGAAGGTTTATCTGTACTTCAGGAGCACTAAATTATGAAGACTTTTAAGAAATCATGTTGCTTCTTCTGAAAGCATATAATAACTTTTAGCACTATACCTCTTAGAGCAGTTATCAAGCAAATAAACAGAATCACCTTAGGCAAAATATGATTTCTTTACATATTCTCTCTCTTCAGAGGTCCATATAACATGGACCCAAAAATATTACTTTTGCCACACTATTTCTGTATTTGTTTGAAGCAAAAGAGCTGGTCAACACATAATTATAATGGTGACTGAAATCAACCTGGGGGTAAAAATCACATATTGCGGTGGTTCACAAAACTACAGCCAAAAACAAATTACAAAAATAGGGCAAATAAGCCCATTCAACTGTACCCCAGTTGTTACAAACATGCTGTTAATGACATTTTAGAATAGTATGCTTTTGTATGTAGCCTGCACTGAACGTCCTTGCTTTCGTTAGAACATCAATGCCCTTCAGGACTGTTTAAATGGAGAAGCACAGTAAACACAGTATACTGTAAAGAACACAGTAAACTGTATAAACTGAACATACTAGTAAAAATTCTGAATGAAACTTAATTGCAGCATCTTTTTTCCTCCTCATGCCATGTGCTATGTGATTTGCTTTGACTATGCAATCCAGTTATTTGACTTTAAGAACATAACGTCTGTATTTAACTAAGCAAATTATGTAGTTTAAAATTGAATGAATTAAAAATAACCTCTAGGGATGATGGGATACTTTTCTGGATAATGATTTGATGAGAAGTAACCAAAGTGCCAGCAGATTCTCCTTCCTGCAGCTTCTTCTCTATCACACTTGGCTAATAGAAAAACCAATAAAAATATAAAGTTCACCATCGCTCAGCATAATCTAAATTCACTTGACAATATAAAGGAAATTCATTCTTGTGACAGAAGTGCCCCATTCACCGTAATGTTCTCAGTGAGGTTTATGCTGGAAATGCATGCAAACTGCAAACAACATCCAAACAGCACCGTGCAAGTAGATTTCTAACTAGCACAGAAATCAGTCTCTCATTAGAAAGCCATAAGCTCTGGAGAGGACCCATTCCTCAGAATTTGGTCTCCAGATTATATCTCTATCTGAAACTTATGAAACAATAATAATAATAATAATTAAAAAAAATATGAAAAGGGAGGGCTTGGGAAGCAAAAAAGAGAATAAAATAATAAATCATTGCCATCCTTTCTGACTGCATGTCATTGAAGTATTGTTTATTTTTACCTGCATTTCAAGGAATGTAGTACCTCCCTTCTGCAAAAATATGAGTTTTTCTGATTTTTCTGTTTCTTCTTTGGTCTAATGTCAGGGGAATAAATGATTTTAGTAAATGGAGGGTATAAAGTCCACTATAAAGTAGTTCATATTTCTCTACTCTACAAATTATTAATTGCATGGAAAATTAGCAAACAGACCTAAAGAGAATAATTTTACAGCACAAAGGTTTCCAATAAGAAGTGGAATCAGTGTCTCTCTGGGGTGAATGCAAAGGAGACATGAGTATACAAATGGTATGCACAAGTGTAGCCCAAAACCCACTAAAGTGAGTAACACCCAGGTGTGGATGCACTGCTTTTCTTTCATTTAATATTATTAATTTAACTGTGACTGATGCAAGCTTACACATCTTCCACCAATAGCCCAGAACAAGCCCCTCCACCTTCACTCTGGGCAAGGCTCTCTGGAGTTTGCAGCCCTCTCTGCTGAAGCAGGCAGAAGGTGTGCCCAGCAGAGATTTCAGCTCTCCCTTTTCCCCTGCTGGTATTAGAAATCTTGGGAGCACTCTTCCTACAGAGGGAGCTAACTGTTGTTCTATTTTCCTGTAGTGTGACACTGAAATCTCCTCACTTTTATCTCATCAGTGCTTTCCCAGTGCTATGAGAATAGTAAGAGTATCTGTCTTGGACAACTGGAAAACTTCTAAATGTAGGTAAGACTCAATTCCCCAAGGCTTTTGAGTTCACCTTCTGGGCTGGTCACCGCTGTCATTTGTCCAGAGAATGTAAGCCCCTGAAGAGCAAAATGGGTTTCTTGCCAAACTCTTTCTAGTAACTTCAGTAACTACTATATTCAATTGCTATACCAATGAAGTCCAGTGGCTGGCATGTACCCTTGTATCAAAGGGTACATATACTCAAGAAGAAAGATAGAAATTTAAAGAGAATATGAAACAAGAAAGGGATAAATGGCTCAACTCAACGACTGTGATGAGATTCACAACTCCTTTATCCCTAAAATGTTGGTTTCGTCCAATCCAGGTCAGATTAAACATTGTCAAGGACTTTGTCAATATGATTGCTTTCACGTTCTACAGCTATCTGGCCACCATCATGGAAGATATTTAAAACTATCTTTTTCATCACTAAGGAAAACCAAAGTATTTCCCCAGAAAAACATGTGGTGACTAGAGAGGATTAAAATCACACTGACCAAACACTCAGCTGCCATATGCTCAAAGATCACATTTTGAAAACACATATTTTTTCTTCTGTTCTTGTCTTATTACAAGAAGGAGCTAAAGGAAACAGCACTGAACACAATTTTAAAGTAGATATGCTAAATGAAATGTGTAACTTCTTTGACTAGCAGAAGGCACTACACTATCTTGACTACCTCTGCATTTCTTAGTAGACATCAAGTTGCTGATTTTGACCTATGGATGGCTTCAGATTTTTCCTGAAAGTCTCCTCTCATCAGGACATGTGAAAGGAAACCATCTCACTGGGACCAAAGGAATGGTCAGGTGTTATCTACAGCAGAAGTCACCTCAGAGGTAGGCTGTAATAGCTCAAGTCTGCTCTTAATTTTCTACAGAAGTACTTTCATTTGGATGAAGTTATGTGAAACAGATGTAGATTACTTAGATGCATAAAAGGTATACATGCATCTAAGTAACTGGACATTGCTTTTGAGCAAGTCATCTTCTACTAGCAAGATAAGAGATACCAGATAATTCTTGCCCTTTTCCTTTCCAAATGAATTGTTAAATTCAGATCTGCTTCCTCAGGGTGAAGCCTACACAGCTATGTAATACTTTGCTACTGCTTGTGCACTTTAATTAAATTTTTTTATTAAATTCCTAAAGTAATAAATATATTAAACAAACAGGGTGATGCTAAGTTTGCAATCCTCTGATTCAGGCTCAGCTAGCAACCGTTTCCAACAGTTCTTTACATCTTTATTATGATAAATGCATCCTGTTCGTTGTACTTAAATTTTACTTTTTAGGAGGATAAACTTTTGTTTTCAACTACAGTCAAACCAACCTGGTTTTAGGGTCTGTTATGATTCCTGAACAAGGCAGTACGAGCAACACTAAAACTCCTCTGTGCTCCCCTCAAAAGGGAAGCTTTGAGCACTGAGCCTGCTTTTTTAGGTATTTTAATCCAACTTGAAGGCCACACTAATACACATTTGGTGCCCCCATCAGCCACTGGTATAATGTGGGAGAGGAGGAGATGAGAGCCCTTTCTTTGGCAATATCCCTTTCCCTATCAGGTGAAGCTGACACTTGCTACCTGCAGGCCTCCAGGGATGCCCTTCCCCAGAGTTGTGGGTCTGCAACACCAAGCTCTGAGGTAAGAAAGCAGAACACTCTTTCAATTTACACTTTCCAGACAATTTTTACTGAGTTCCTTACAACATTACATCAGTGCTGTGGGCACAGAAACAAACCTCATGACCATTTATTGGTCTTTAATGCTAAAACCAAGAGGTATCCATAAAGATAATTCCTGTGAGACAGAAACCAGATATCCATTCATAATAGAATAAGAAAATTAACTTACAGGCAGACCACACAAACTTATTTCTTTTTGTTCCACTGGACTTAAGCCAAGACTGCACTATGTATTGCAACCCAAATGTTGCCTTGCTACCCCTACATGTCCTTATCTACCTACGGATCAAGTAAACACCAGCTTGTAAACTGGCAAGTTTCTTACAAGCACTTCAATACTGCACAATTATGCAGATTTTTTTACACACGCACACTGCACAAAAATGCAGATACTTTGCAATTTGCATTGGGTCTTCAATGACAGTATCTAGCAGACTGCAGCAAACATCAGGTCCCTTATGGAACTCGCCAAGAAGGACTAATTATCATTATTATTTCTTCCCTGTCTTCAGAGACTGAGAGTTCTGCCCTTTGTTCTGTATTTTCTTTTCAAACGTGGCACCATAGCCCTCACCCATCTCACTACACTGCTGCTCCCAACTAGTCACCATTGCTTAAATTTTCTCTCCATCACTTTCATGGTTTCTTTCACGCACGAATGAACTTCCTCAAGCTCACCGAACCTATAACAATGTCTTTATTTTGCACCCTCAAAGAGACCCAGTTCTGCCACATGGCTTCCAATGAATTTAATTCTCTATATACACATATATTTATATATGTATATATTTATGGTATCTGCTCTTCCTCCCATCTTTGCCGCTAGAGCCTGCGTCCTGAGAAAAGGGAGTGCCTGCAAGCAGGGATTGGCCTCTAACTGCGGCCTCTAATCTAGTGAGAGCTGCTATTAAGTAAAAATGCATAGACAAATACATAATGAAGCCTTTCAGCTCACGCTGACCTCTTCAGGCACTAGTGGTTCAATCATAGGAGCATCCTCCTGCCTTGCTGCAAGCCGAACGGGAGATGTGGAAAGCCTCTTCTCCCACTCATTAGACACAGTCGTTTCTGTGGATGTTTCCAAGAAGGTGCGTTTCAACTCGCTTATATTGGTCTGATGTTTCATCAGATCTTCCTGGGTTTTGTCTAGATCCTAGACAGTTTTAAAAGAATAGAGCAGTTTGTGATACATCCTAGGCCAACCAAACTTTAGAGCCAAAACACACAACTCGGTTAGTATAGAGGGAAGTAACAGCTCAGGGAGCCGGGGAGCACAGCACTAACACAACACTCTGTGAAAATGTGGCATTTTGAAAGAGAACAGCATAGCATATCTCGTACAAGTGAGTCTATATACACTCTTAAAGAGCCTATCCATATCACTATAATTTGCACCTGGTAAGAGGCTCCAAACAAACATACATATGCGCGTGGAGGCACACACATATACGCACACGCATATATCGATATTGATAGTACAAGTTAGAGGATTCATCATAATCTGAGAGAAAAAATAATCTATTAGCAGGTGGGAGTACACAGTTCATGCATCATAGTGCAGATCCACAGTTTACCACTAAAACTAACACACATGTACGTACATGCACTGGTATATACCAATACCAACCTCTAACATAAGATTACTATGTTTGACATACACATTTTCACCCTGTATTCGCTTAATCAGACTATTCTGAAAGAAGTGAAAAAGAAAGGGAAAGGTAAGGGACACAGTATTGAAAGGATACAAAATGCTGTTTCTACACATTTCTTCACAGAGAACCGACAGTAACATGCTGAAAGAGGCAAACACCTCCAACATTGATACCTGAGCAACATCTAGACCTTTTGTTTCTGTACCTGTGCCTTTAGATCTCCGTCCTCCTCTTGATCCGACTGCCAGCATGAGAAAGATTTGAAAACAACACCTTACCCACTTGTATGAATGAAAGCTTTATGAACATTGGTGAGAGGTACACACTAGGTTAAAATCCCATTTTCTCTTCATTAAGGGTTTGAGGAGAAGGAGTAGACACATGGGCTTTGCACGGTTTTCCTAACTCAGAGCAAATTCTTCTCAAATTTGTTTTTTGCTATCAAAGGGGTATTAAACATCTTCCTTTTATAAATATTGCTACAGTCCACATTCATAGATCGCTATTTATGGAGCAGCAGCTGCACCTTCTCACCAACATCATGGCTAATCTAGGATTGAACAGCAATAGCAAATGCTTCGGAATTCCATAATCCCAGAATTAACACATAGGACATAATCTGGGCCACAAGCAAAGCTTTGCATAAATTCACCATGGGCAAACAACCTGCAACTTTCTATAGAAGGAAGCACATTTTATTTGCTTAAAATTCTATTTCCCTAACCATAGTCCCTTTCTGTATTTCTGTAATTTTAGTTCATATTTAGCCTGTACATATTCCTTCAGGACCTATCATCTGGAATGGCACACACATCCTGTCTACTTCAGTGCATTTTCAAAAGCAAAGCCATAGGGACTGCCCCAGCAGCCCTGTTTCCAAGGGTGCAATTTTCAGGTGGCAGATACACCACACATTTTGAAAATCAGGTATCTGTAAGAAAAACTGAGATGTACTATATCTTCTCCTCTAAATAAAGATCGCAACTAGGGATATTAACACGTATTTTTGAGTAATAAACTGAACATTTTAAATGTCACAGTTTTATGATTATGTTTTACTTTCTGCAGGGCTCAAGGCCTGAAGCTATGGAGTGGAAGAAGCACTTCAAAGCATTTTGTACTTCTGACTCATCTCAACAGACTTTATGTTGTTGCATCGTTTGAATTCTTTTAATGCCCGTGTTGCTATTTTATTGTTAATTTTTCATATAATCCTAATTAGACAAATGACTCGTGGGAAAATCTGTTGACTACTTTACAACTCAGTTCAAATTTATTTTATTTACTGCCAAAGCTGAATCGTTCTGACGTGTCATACAGAAAATTTTTCCTTGACAGTAATTTTAGCAGTCTCAAATATTAATGAGATTCTTCTGGAAACCTAGAGTAGTGTTTGTGGTAAGACTCTGTCTTCTAGCAGATGTCAGACGAAATTCAGCTCATGTTTGCAGCTGCAAACATATTAATTATGAAAGCATTATATGCACTTCAGTGAAGTCATATAGGGTTGAATTTGCCTGCACAATCTATGTACCATGTTGTGAGGCTCCTCAGTGCAAGGAAAATATAAACATTTTACATTTCTCATCTGAAAAGAATACCTGAACTAGTAGTGGCAATACGTGAAGATGCCATGTGAAATTACATTACAGAAAAGCTTTAGATGTTTAAAATTTAGATTCCTCTATTCAATAAATTTGAAAACTGCTTTTTATTGTCTTTTCCCCACTCTCCCACTCAGGCTTCAGAATACAAGAGCAAACAAGCAAACAAAAAACCCCAGGGCATGATCTGGTCAGCACAACCCTCCGGACGGGCAGCACTGGCACGGGTGACACCGCCACTGCCCCACCACTAACCGCACAACGCAGAGGCCTTGCAGCTTCCAAACCAAACCCAGAAATCAGAGGAACCCTTAGGGAGCACGGGAGACTCAGCTGTCCTAGCAAAGCCGTCGCGCTTGCAGGCACGCACATGCACACACGCGCGGGAGGGATCCTGAGCTGCCGTAGCAGACATGCGGTCTAGCCCCGAGGCGCAGGGTCGGGAAGAGACGAGGCAAAACGCTCTCCCCTGCCATAGCCGACTGTACAAACCTCGGTGGCAGTGGTCTCACCATCAGCCGCAGTATCCGTCTGCTCACTGTCAGTCTATGGGGTTAGACAAGTACGCGGGTCCCGAGAGGAAGGCAGGAATAAAGAATAAACCCAGCTCATCAGTACACGCGGCTCACACGGGGAACTGTTAAACTCAACATCCCTGTGAACTGCATTAGCATTGCTTTTCAAACAACGCACATGTCAAAGAAGCAAAATAAAAATGCTATATTAGTAAACAGAACAGACTCAGAGGAAGACTCGAGGCGTACTGTACACAGTATATGGCTTTACTGGAACAAATTTATAAGCCAAACAAAGCATTACTGGTAAAGTGTTATTTGAATAGCAGATTTTTTTTTTTTGTTGTTTTCCTTAACAAAGCCATGTAGCTTTAAAAAAAAACATGGGGAAAAAAGTGACTAATATTTTCTAAAGAAACTTTTCCTTCCATTATGATTTTTTACAGAAAATTATGGAACTAATTTTTGCTCTAGCCAATATAAAGTGGTGGTTAAATTTTTATCCGGAGGGGAAAAAGATAATTAAAAAAAAAACAACAACGAAAAAGCTACTTTAACAGTCATCTGACTTTCAGCCCCTCATTTGTACAGAGGTTGTTCTTGTCTCCACATTTATACACCATGAGGCTGTCTGCATTACCAAGGAGTTCAAATACCCATACCCCCAGCCCATCTACTGTCTGTCTGTGGAGTTATGGTAAGGCTCAGATCCCACTCGGTTCCAATAAAGAATAGCTGATAATTGTTAATGATAGTAAAAAGAAAGAAAACTGCCATTAAAAGAAGAAAAAATACTTCTCATTCCATTTAAGAATATGGATGAAAGCAGGAGAAAAACAAAAGTAACTTCCCCCACCCCCCAAACACTTACTAGGTATGAGTGATAAAAATGAAACAAAGCACAGCATTGCACAGTGATCTATCCCTGCTTTGCATGAAGAACATTTTACTGGAGAACACAAGTGTCAAGATTAATAGAGAGTGGAGTGGAGGTTGCTGCAGACTGAGAAGAGAGTTCAAAAAACTACTCTGATATCAGGTAAGCATATGGAAAACTAGTAAGTAAAGTGCACCCTACTGCCCCAGACTGGCACATACAAGTTGTTTTGATAGCAGTGAAAACTCTGGTTTCCATTAGTGATTTTCTGTGGTCTTTAGATAATCTAAAGTAATCCAGGAAGGCAATTTAAAGCCAGGACAACACATCTCATCCTCCAATCACATCAATATGAACAAGAACAAAAGAAGAACCTTCTGGTGGATGGAGTATCAGTCTTAGCTTTGAATTTCCTCCAATCTTTTGTCATTTTCTGAGAACTCCAGTTTCATAAGACAATGTTTTGATTTTTTTATTGCTTTGTTTTTTATTCTTTGAAGAGTTTGTATTGTTTGTATGACAGACAGAAGAATAAACAAGCATTTTGCACTACTTGCTAAGTGCATGAATGCAAGTTGCATGAAATTTTTCAAGCCATAGCCACTCTTGAGACAGACCACGTATATTTTTAAATGGAGGTGTAATGTCAAAGTAGTTTATTAGGCTGGTCCAATTGCTTTCACTAAAGTGCTAGAAAATTGTTTCTTAATTAACAAAGGATCTCATGTCTTTATAACATTATTGGCAATTGCAAAAGTATGGCAATAGAAAAAAAGAGTATGCACTGTCACTCCTATTTACAAAAAAAAAAGAAACAAAAAGGAATTAATGAATCTAGACATTTTAGAAGAATTAAAAATTTTGTCAACGCATTGTAACACAATTCTGGCACAGAGGGTACTTTTAAGAACTTGAAGTCAATAAAAAATTAGATGCTAAGGTACAAACACAGAGGCCAATGAATTCCAAGGGGTGAGATTCTGTCTTTGACTGCATGGACTGACTCCAGATACATAGTTCAAGGGAGAACAAGCTCAACAATGCATGATATTGGTTCAGGATACTAGCTGTGGTTTGCATCTCTGTGTGCAATCTTTTTGAATTGTAGGGGCGGGAAAGGCTCCTATTTCTTTTGCCATAAGCGACATGAAATCCTAAATAAAGCATAAAACTTGTTTTATTGCAACATACATGTCTGACAATAAGCCAGTCAATAGCCATGGAGTTGAATTCAGCATTCCTGAGTTACTTGAAATAAAGACCTGGGGTTATCACAGAGCAGGGAATGGTGAGTTAAGGTTGAGCAAGGCACTCTTCTGGAGTGGAGTAAGAAAGGCCAGGCTCAGCTCCAAGACAGGCTGAGGTACAGCTGAGGTGAGGCTGGTGGGCAGGCGAGGGCTGGAGCAGGACAGAAGGCAGCTTCTCCTGAAGTGCTGTGGCTGCACCTCTCCTACCTTGTGATCGTAATTGCTGTGATTTGTTTTGCCAATGTAATGCAGACATGCCCGAGTTTAAAACATATTCACTTTCATGCAATATTTTGAACAATAAATACCCCGTGGATTAGGCACAAGTCTGTGTTGTCTGCCAGGAAGCACTGCCAGAGTAATCACCCTCATAAAAGAGAGATACTAAAAAGCCTATTTTAGATGTTTTTATGCTCAATACTTTCTAACTTTACCAATAAAAAGAAGTGCTCATTTCTGAAAGAGGAGCAGACTAATGTATTACATAAACACTGCCTCATTATTGCCTCTAGAGCTGGAACTATATTAATGCTATTATTCCTATTAGATTAATCCAAGTGCAGAGCTAATGCAAATTGAGACTTAAATGCTGTCTCAAAATGAGGACAAGAAATGAGACAGCAGCATTTTGGATGCCTTTTATCAGAAATTGCACATTATTTTTTAGTTGTAAGGCACCACAGAGCCAAAAGCATCTAAAGATAATGTTTTTACAAGACAAATTGATGTGACTTTTGGCTTTCCATGAAAGGGAAATGAAATCCTGCACCAAGGCTTACAAAACTAACAGCAGCAGATGACAATGTTCAAGCTGGTTTATTGAAGAGAGCTACTGCAATGGACTATCGACAAGTGGCCAAGGTGGCTTTTTACTGGGCCAACTGGTCTGCAACTATCTGATCTGGGTTTTTTCTTTATATTCAAAGCAAAACCATACTTTTGTATTCAAAGAAGAAAATAGAAAATCAAGGAAAAGCTGAACTCATTATTTTATTCTGTCATCAAAGAACAATCAGGCGCCAGCAAAAACTGAGATGCCAGTTGCTCTGTTACTGAAGCATATTCCTTTCCTGCCTCTGGATATACCATCACATCCACAGAACCCAGAATCACTGCAGACTCCTACTGCAACTGGTTCATCTGCCCGTGATGACCCTGGTGGCTTGAGGCATCAGTTTTGGCAATGCTAATCTAACACTGCAAATGTCAAGACAGCCCACGTGGCATGCTCCTGCAACAGCTGCAGAACAGCTGTCCCAATCTGACCCCTCACTGATACACTGGATTTAACCATGGGAAAACAATTTAATCTGCAGCAGAGATGGGATCAAGGCTGAAAATTGAGATCCAGGTTTTGCTGGACCAGAAAGCCTTTTCTGGGGTTCAGCTACAGATGATACCCCTTTGCAAAAAGTGGAGTCCATCTGGACTTTGAACATACTTAAGTTGGTGAGGGTGCTCATAATTGTTGGGTAGCTAGTCATATAAATAAATGTAGATACATATGCAGATATTTGCATGCTTCAGTAATTATGCGGAAAATTTCACTTAATACTCACTATTTAGATAGCTATTCTAACCCTACTATAAACTGACAGAGGGAAGAAAAAGGTCTTATCATTTAGTGCAAGTCACTTCGCACCAGCTGACACAGTTCAAGCCAAGCCTCTTCCACACAGTGTTGTGCCTAACCCTGGGCTCCAAGCTGTACTCCCAGCATGAGAAAAAAATAAAAAATAATAATAATAAAAAAACCAAAACAAAAAACAACAACCCCCAAACCAAAAAGAAAACCCTTCTAACATATCAGCACAGACAGAAATGAGGCTCTGAAAGTAGGACCACTATTGCAGCAATCTAACACTGGTTAGGACTGAAGCACTGAACACAAAAAAGAGTGTGTTCGATGCCGAGGTACACACCTCTTCCTCTGAACTGTCACTCAGGTCATTGGCAAGTGAGGCACTCAAGGAGGCCGCCTTGGGCTCCAGGTAGCAGAGGCACATAGCCAGAGGAAAGGAGAGAGTGAGGGCGTATGGCACTGAGAAAGAGGCAGAGAGCAGAAAGAAAAAAATGAAGAGGAAGCAAGGCACGAGGGAGGGGGAGCGGATGGGGAGGTAGTGCTGCACACTGGCAGGCAGGAGGTTGGTTTCGGAGAGGTTAGGGAGCGACAGGTAGCCATCGTCATCCAGGAGGGAAGGAAATGACTCTGGAAGTTGCAAGGAGAAGGAAAACAGTGTTCCGCCTTTGCCAGCTTTCTGCTTGTAGCCAAAAGCCATGTCCTGCTCGGCGGAGCAAACTCGCCCCTTCCTGTCAGAGTCTGGCTCCGACTCGCTGTGTTTGGGAGCGCTCTCTTTGGGGGCCTCACAGCCTAAGGACTTTGTCCGAGTGCTCTCCTTGCATCTCCTGCGAAGCTTGGCTGAAGATACATGGGGGCCAGGCTGAGAGGATGGCGAGGAGTGGTGGGAGTCAGTGCCAAGCAAAGATGGCTGGTGACAGAGAAAGAGCAGCAAACAAGGCGCAAAAGCAAAAGGACAAAAAGAAAACTGTAATTAGTTAATTTTCTTCCGTGATGATAAATAATATATATTATATATATAATTATAAACAGTATTTTAAAACCACAGCTTTCCACTGAATTTCCAGTGCATGTTCCCATGCTGCACACCACATGTGTTAGTGAATCACGCTTCTAGCTTACAAAAGGCAACTTCTTGATTCAACATTTGTCTAGTCCTCTGCAGCACAGGATTTACATAAAACCCTCCATGGCCACATAGGGAGTTTCAGGTGCTGCCAATTTCCATTTACTGCAAAATTGTTTCCCATCATAAAGAGTTTTCAAACATGAAGTACATGGAGAGCAATAAAGAAGGAAACATATTTCTAATACCAGCACTATTTGTGACAGCATTCTTGCAGTCAGGAGGAGACCTGGTGGGGGCCAGATGCTTCCCATCTATGCCTTGGACAACCTTAGCAGTAATAATTAAAACTCCAAGGACTTAAAATTCCTCCATTGCAATATTTAGGAAAAAAATCTAGGCCCTAAACCAAACTAAAACACATTATTGTTTGGTGGGGGGAGCAGAAATCCATTCATCAGCTGCCCCTGATGGAAAAAAACAGCTCAGCAGCTATCCCAGCAGCCAGTTCCTCAGCACAGCTCCCACCACTGGCCCCTGCTGGGCATGGCCACAGCCCTGCCCTCACCTCTGCTCACTGTGAGCCCAAGCAGGCACAGCTGGGGGCTCACCTCCTCCCAGCCCCTCCACGCTGCCACCTCTTCAGCCATACACTGAAAGAAGGGAGCTGAGACTTGTGGCTCAGCAGACCCCATCATCTCTCACTGGGGATCTGAAGGGGGACTGGCTAGAAAGAGATCCTTGCCCCACACAGCCACATCTTCTCAGAATCAAGATGTGACCCTTTACCCATAGTGAAGAGGCAAAAATGCCCCTGATGCTTTTGCTACAAGTTTTATTACAATGCCAAGAATACAGACTACCAGCAAGCAGGATTTGCTTTGATATGTCACTTGTAGGGCATTCAACTGGCCTTTCAGGTCATTTGGGGACAAAAAATTGGTAGTAGGAGGGAGGTGATTCAGCAGAAATGGTGGCTGTCATTTCACATGCTCCCTGCAAGCAGACACCACTGCTCTTTAGAAGAACAAAAACCACCATCATCACCAAACTGCATACCCTAGTACAACAAACACATCTGCCACAACGCTAATGGATCAGAGATGTTTTGGCCAAAATCCACCAGGTGCATGTAGCTGAAGTGGCCTAAGTGCCTGAGCTGTTCCATCCATAGTGAATCTCCCCAAAGAGCCATAATAGCCATTTCACTTTCACTTCAAGCTCCCAAAAGCAAAATTACTTTAAAGCCATAACAGCATTTTCCTCCAGTTCAAGCTGGTGTTGAACTGGAGGTAAAAAGCAGATTCAAATTTTAGACACACAGGTTGCTACTAAGCCCAAACTTTACCAGGTATATTAATGATAGGAATGGGACGTTAAGCCAAGTAATTACACGGAAGAATGCTTTCCTTCCTCTTTAATATTCCCCTTTCTCCCTTCTCTAACAATCTATCAGTTCAAGGAATCTGTATTCCCAAGAAATCAGAACCAAGCCTAGCTTCAAACCACTTACAAATGCCTTTATGGATTTAATGCAGTAAGCTCAGGTCAAAATTTAATGCTGATGGACTCACTGTTTTTTTGTGTGAGCTAAATACACACAAAAATTACAACTTCTCTTTATATTGCAAAGATAAAAATCCAAAGTAAATGCATTCTTTTCTAATACAGACTATTCACTTCCTGGTATCTTTACAGTGTTAATATTTAGAATAACTTCTGGTACTTAAATACACACGGATAAAACAAAGGCAAAATGTCTTAATGGAAAAGGTGTAAACCTATCTAAATCATCTATATGCCCTTAAAAAGGGATTTGATTTCAGGCTTGTCTTGTGTTTCTTGAGACATTCATTTCTGATGACAGACAAATCTGTTAGCAGATCCATGTGGAAGCAGGACTGAGATCTCTGTAGGGTTACAGAACTGAAGCTCTATTTATGATGGTTTAAACAAAATTCATCTCTTGAGTGGGGGTAAAAATCAATCATTTGTGTATATTTAAGTTCCATCAAATTAGTCTCCTAAAATAACTTCCGAGTATTTCTAGCCATATATAAGGAATAGCTAGATGATCTTCAAAATGCAACTGATCCTTCCATTGACTTAAATTAACAAACACTTGGAACAGAACTAGCTTCTATTGGATGTTTTCTACATATTCAGTTTTCATCGTTATTCCTCCATATGGAAACTAATGGAGTTTCAAGAAGACCACAGTTAAATTTTGTAGAGATTGTCTTTTAAATGCCACAATTACAGCACACACTTTCAAAAGAAAACCTTTTTTCATTGGCAATTTTCAGTTACTCAATTTGTTTCTGGTTTTCAGTACCTTAACTGCAATTCTTTTTGAGGACTTGATCCTTTCAATATGTAGCTCATCCTGGCCTTATATGATAAAGCTAAAAGTTCAGGTTCCAACATTTGCATACTTGACAGTTCTGTGGATGTAAATACATATATCAAGGCTTTTCTTCCTAAAAGATGGGGGTAAACCTTACTTGTTTAGCAAGTGCATTCTACAGTACACTTTCTGAGTGTTATTCTACTATATTTCTCTTCACTATCAATCTCTTCACTATTTTCCATATACTCCTTTTTGGTTTACCATGTATTAATATCTCAGTAGATATTACGCACAACTACGTGTGTATATGTGTGTGTGGCGGTTGTGGGATAGAAGATGATGAGGGATGACTCAAATTTGACAACTGAGAAGAGAACCATCAATTAAAACTGTTTTCTTCAACACAAACTTCAAACAAGTGAAGCAAATGCTTTTGTAAGCCAGAAAAAAATTGCTCATAACAGCAGATTAATATCCAAAAGTTAATAGAGAAAAAATGTCCATTGAAATTCAGGCAAGGAAACAGTGTTATGAGAAGTATAAGAGGAATAGTTTAAAGCACAGAGCTACATACAAGAATACAGAACTATTTTGTTGCCTTCTCAAAATAAAAAAAAAACCCAGGATGGCCTTACTAAAGTCAAAATATGACGGAAAACCAGAAGAACAAACATGCACTGCCAGGCTACTTCTGGGCATTTCCTAAAGAGCTGTTGAATGCTGCGTGAAAAACATCATTCTGACTGTCAAACACATTTCAAAAAAGAGTCCAAGGCAGGAACTAAGTTTTACAACATCATATGAAAACTGAAAGGACTACAGAAACACTGATTCAAGACACGTATATACACATAGTATATTTCGTTTCACAGAACTATTTCCTCTTTCTCCTCACATCCCTAAAAAAATCCGTGTTCCTCCAAGCACTCTCCAGGCATCCCTGTTTAATACAAAACCCTGAAAATTCTACCTTGGTGTCATGGCGTATTGCTGAAATCGGGGTGACTTCCTCTGCTCTCTTCTTTTTGCCCTCTTCATCATCTTTGTCCTCTTCTGTCTTTTTCTCTGGAGTCACAGTGGTTATCAAGTTGGTCTGAGAGATGCCCTTTGTTGTGGCGTACTGGCCAGTACCAACCTCTGCAGCAGACACAGAATCCTTCATGTACATTTCATGGTTTTCATTCACTGATGCTAAAAGCAAATATTTAAAGAGGGAAAATCTGAAATAGCTTTTGCTGAGAAGCTGCATAAAATTAAAAAAGCTGGTTTAGAAAAACATTTGAGATAATACTGAAAACAGAACTATGTCATGTTTCAGGAAACCAGAAGCATGTGCATACATTTAAATAAATTGTTTACTTGAAATGAAGCTCATAGCTTTTATATGCATACACATATATTATGGATGTGTATACACACATTACTGTAGCTAATGTGTGCATTACACAGTTGTTAAATGCTAGCAAGCCGTTAAAATTACTACTGTAGTAAAACACCAGACAAAAAAAAAGCAACACGTTGCCACAGTTATCAGGCAGGAAACATAAGGAGAACCAGCTATGACATCAGCCATGGGGGTGGAAGAGATGTTTTTTTTTTAAATCTGTCAGAATATAAAAACGCAGATCAAATGCAGATTTAGTAACATGCTGCATTACAGAATATGACAATATTGGTACAACACAGGCATAATACCTGAGAAAAAAGAAATGTGATCCATGTATTATTAAGTACTAAAGTCTGCCAGTTAGATGAGCTCATCCTAAAAAATTCTGCGAAGTGATGACATTCAGTTCAGTGGACCCAACCAGAATATTTTAGGATGCAAGTGCTCAATAATTAATCAGATTTAGGTAATAGTTATTTTGAAAGAAATAGTAGGTTTACAGATAGAATGTAATCAAAACTTCAACATATGCCCAGACACTGCTCTTCACTATTGGGTAACTAATTTCTAAACCAATAGGAATATTCAAATTTATAAACTCACTTGCATCTGTAACAAATGACAGAGTCTTAGTCACAATGTAAGCACAATGCAGAATGTTACGGATATATCTTCATTATAGTAACAATGCTAGTGAAGATATCATAAGCATTGATTTAAAAAAATCTCTTTCCCCCATTTGCACTTAAGCAAAGTAACAGAGTCTAACAAATACTGGGTAAAATGTTTCAGGTATCTTGTCTCTTGGGTTTAAGTTTAGGAGGCAGGAGAAAGCAAAGGGAGTAGAGGGAGACATCTTGTTTAGATGTTACAAACAAAATAATGCAGAAGGATAATTTCTGCTTTGAAACACATGCACAGCAATCAGGTCACCAGTTGCTTGGTAACTAGCAAGAAGCACATCAGAATTAGAAGATTCCAAAATAATTAATGACAAGCAGCACCTTTAGAGGGAGAGAAAAAGGCTTGTCACTTTTACTTCTAAATCAAAGCTTCTCCCCATCCCCACCACCAACTATACTCATTGCAATTTGTGATATTTGGCAAGAGAATTCACCTTTTTTTTAATCTGTAATGAATCTGAGTTTAGTCTCAGTCTTTTGTTTTTTCTACAAAAATAAATACAACCTCAGCTGACAACAGTAATAGTTGATGACAGTAGATGATACTTTGAACTACACACTGATTTAACCAAAGTCAGCAGCAGAACCATGACCTCCATGAACCAAGGATAAAGAGAGGAAGGATGTCCTATTAACCTATGTATGTTACTGTCCATTTCATACCTTCAAAAATAACAGATGAAAAACGTCTCTTAGTGCTTATTGTAGCAGGATGTGAGGTAATTGGAATCAAGTGCTAATACTCAGGGGAAATAACTGATAATTTCTGGATTGTAACGAACTTAAGTGAAAAACCTACACAAGAGAAAATCTCAGATTCAACCAAAAACCAAACAGTCACTCATGCAAACCCCAAGAAAGTGTTGAAACCTGACTTCCTTGGGCAGGCAAGTCCATCCCATCCTTCCCCAAAGCAGGGAAGCAGACACGAGGCCAAGGACAGAGGCTCTGTGAAGAGTGGGCCCCAAAGGACATACTCCAGCCAAATACTTTGTAAGGACCACAGCAGTACATTTAGCATGGAAATTCTCTGCACCCTCCTCTACCCCTGCAGTGAGCGTGCAGGTACTCACAGCCTCCACTCAGCCGAATCTCAAGGAGAGGAGATGATGAGGTTTATACCTAACAGAAAGCAGTGACCACAGCGATGACAACTTTTGACAAGGCCAGTTGAGAGGCCCTTACCCCCATCCAAGCTGCGAGACATGGTGTAGCGTTTGCTGGAGGACCGCTCAAAGTAGGGTGCAGGACGGTCTATGAGGGCACTGGCTCTTCTCGTCTGGGCCTGTGTCCGCCCACTGTAGCGAAACTTGGAGCCCAGCGTGAGGAACTTCTTTGGAGGTGCTTCTGGCAGCAGGAGCCTAAAACACACCGAGCAGTGCACCTGTTATTGCCCCTCCACTGTTTCTGCAGAGGAGAGAAGACGACTGCTGGCTATCTCCATCTCTCCATCGCAACCTGTGCCTCACCGGTCTGTGGCTAAAAGGGAATCCAAGGATGCCCCTCATACAGCATAACAAAACCACTTAGCTAAAGCATTTGGAGACCTGAGTTCTTCTAAATGGGCAAGAATCACTCAGCTCCTTCATGCTTGAAAATCAGATTTACTATTTTCTGACTGCTAAAACTAAAAATAAGGTGTTTCTTGTACTAGAGGCCCCTATTGGGCTGAAATGCAGATGTATCTCTTCAAATTTAACATGGTGATGTTATGCTGAGGACAGGGTCAGAACTGATTCCCAGTGAATGACAGGCAGTATTCATTCACAGGGGTGTAGACATTTTTCAGGTTTGAGCTCTCCCACCCTCTGTATTTTGGGCATGGTAGCTGGCTGAAGAAGCCATTCTCCTGCTATGGAGTCTATGATTCAGACATTGTTTTTTCATTAAAAATAAGGAAATACCCCAAAAAATGCACACTCCTTTTCTCTTTAGATCTTTTGCTTCTAAGACTGCATTTCATATGAATGAACAGACAGCCTGAACCAACAGTTTTAAGAAAGGAATACTCTCAAACATTCCCCAGAGGGGGTTCTTAAGCATTGGACACCCTTTCAAACTGTCGAAAATCTCACCCTTTTGGGTTTCCCTTGGTAAGTATCTATTTAATGACAATCTTAGCACAATTACAGCCCTATTTCACTATCCCAAACTTTTCTCAGTTCTTCTTAGATGTCAAAAAAATAGCTGCAAAACTCCTTAGTAATCCAAAAATTACAGCTATGGGTTGGGTATTCTGGGTGACCAAAAAAAACCACGACCTTCTACTGTCTGTACTTTCATATGTAATTAAATAAAAATATTCTTCTTTTTTAAACTCTTATCCACATCCCCCAGCAATCTTCCATATATGAAGATTGTTCTCCATATGCAAGCTTATATGCAGTAGTGCAGCAGAGTCCTTCATCTCCTTAACTATAGCAGCTGATAATATCATGGCACAGATAAAGTAAAATTATTAATTAGGACCATATGGTGATTTTAAGCAGTATCTATCTGAAATAGTATGAATAATTTGGGTGCAACATCTCAATTTTTGAAAAAGCAATAACCTTCCTTCTGCTCAGAGATACCTCATGATCAAAAAGACAAATTGATTTGAAGGGTTTTGTCTCTGCTGACAGTATTTATATTTTCTGTTGTGTTTTATATCACACCTTTAGGAAAAGAAATCCACATACCTGAAAAATGTATGGTGTTCAACACATACTTTCCATAAGCGCTTTGCAGCACGATGATTTGGCAACTTAAACCCAATAGTGCTTTCAAACTGCTCAAACTAGGTAGGAAAAAAGAATAAGTATGTTTTTGGTGCTGTGCATCTATTTTTAGACAGTGTACACAGGTTCATCTTCATTTTCTCCGTCTGTATCACCTCATTGCAAGGGTGAATGTATATGCTCATGTATACAACCACATGTATAAATATTCTACAGAAAGAATTCTGGGAAAAAAGCTGTGAATGATAATCTGTGGCAGCCTTTGAGGATAATTTCTGAGGGAAACATTGGTCATGAGCAAGAGATTTCTTATGGTGACAGTGATGTTTTATACCCTACAGTAACAAAGAGATCAGTTAAGACTAGGGAGACTTCTGAGAAAACATCATTCAAGTGTTGTACCCTATTGATTTATTTTCACCAGTTTAAACTACAGTGGGAAGCCTGCTAATAGCTGGAGGGGACCAGCAGTCCTCAGGGACTGATTTGGTCTCACACAGCCTTAGATTAAGGATATTTACAGAGAAAGTACTACTGTTAGTAAATCACGCTGGTTAGAGCTAATTCATCTGAGGACGATGAGGCAAGACAGGTAATTGAAAAGAGTTGTCCAGAAATACAAAGAGATCTCTTTAGATTGTACTGCAAATTTATATATTTCAAATGCAAAAGCTGCACCAGCTATATCTGCTGTAACACGTTGATGGCTACAGATAGCTGAGTAGATAAAATAGAGTTGCTGTGATGGGGAAAGGTAGAAGGGTACTTGTAAGGAAGTCTGGATCCCTACAGAAGCTGACAGGGAAATAAGGCAGGAAACAACAAAATAATAAAGATAATGTGGGATAGTGAATCACATTATCACAAAATGTAATTTGGACAGAGGCAGTATTGATTATTTTACACACGGAACCATGACCTGGTCACAGGATACTGTGTATCAAGACCAGCAGAGCTCAACAAGGTAGTAGTGGTGGAGAGCATCAGTGCAGACATTGGGAATGACTATTTGTTTAGGTTTTTAAAATCAAGCTCAAGGCTGGAAATTTGGTTACTAAAATTGTGTCTTCTTAGGGGCAGGAGACATAGGTTTGTAGATTTTGGTTTAGGACTCTAAAAAAGGCTCAGCCTAAGGGGTGGGGAACCCCAGCATGTTTCCCAAGTCAATTATGAAGTCAGTCCCAGAGACATTAGCTGCATTAAGGGAGAAATGCCAGTCCTCATCTAAGTGATTTCTGTCCTGCTCTACAGCTCCACACTCTAAATGGACATGGAGTTTTCATCTATCACATGCCAGTTATTGTACAGGCATTTAAAATGGAAATCCTCCTTCACCTGTGATGATCCTGAATTTTTCAAGAGTTATCATCCTTAGGCCAGGTTGGATAGAACTCTGAACAACCTGGTCTAGTGGATGGTGTTGCTGCCTATGGCGGGTGGGTTGGAACCAGGTGATCATTAAGGTCCCTTCCAACCCAAACCATTCCATGATATCCATGATTTCTGGGAGAGCACATGCTCAGTGAGGTCGGTATTGGCTTCACATGCGGCTGAGCCACGAGAGGGCACTCACTGTACGAGGTTTCATCACATCCCCTTCTCCAGAGCCAGAACAGGAACTCCTGAGGGCCTGGGAGGACTAACGTGTGTAGCTGCCTAAAATGCTGTAAATATACTGGTCTGATATGTTTATGGAGTTTGGTATGGCTTGTCTACATCTCTTAGTGGGTGAGATAAACGCCAGTTTCATGTACAACATGAGGGAGGATAACAAGCTCTCCATGAATAAGTAATATGCTATTTAAATGCCCAAAGTATTCATAATATGGATGAGCTTTTAATGTGAAGATGGCCATATTTATTCCTTACATTACATCACGGATGTAAACAGAAAAATACTAAATTTTTTTTTACCTGTATTTTAAATATATACCTAACCTTCCCTAAGAAAATCAGCATAAATTAGGACATAAACATGGAGAGGAATGTTAAAAGCTTATAAGACTAAACAAATCAACAAATCAGTAAAAACTCATGTTTTTTCCAGAGGTTCATCCACTTAAGAGAATCAGGATGCCCTTACCTCTCCTGGTCGGATTTTGATGTAGAAGTTGTTCCTCTTGTAGGAAATTTTCAAAACCTTTGGCCAGGCAAATCTATTTATTCTGAGTCTGTCTCGATATATTAAGAGTCCACTTGCACACACTCCTAGCATGATTTCCACTCCTTCGGAATCCTGGAATAGCAAGCAATGAACTTTGTTGAGTATTTCTATCCTTGCACCCTACAGTACCACAGATTCCTCTGTTCTGTGTTTCTATCTGAGTTACGTCTTTTTAATGCATCAGCTGTAGTGACCTGATTTCTGAGTGCTACCCTACTCACTGAATGCATTCATGCAAATAATAGTAAGGTTGGGCAGGGTGAAGGAAACTCAGGGTTTCCAATGTTTCCTTATATTTTACAAAGACTCCGAAAGGAGGAGGGAAAATTTAGAAGTCATTAAAAGAAATACATCAATCATATAACAAAGTTTTATTAACATAATAAAAAAAAGTTATTAGCATAAATACCAGATTGAAAGTAAGTATGACAGCATACAAATTTACTTCTCTTGGTATCACTCATCTCCATGACTAAGCCTTGTGAATCCTTAGATAAATTTTTCTTCTGTAGTTTGCTCATCTTGGCTTTAGTAGGTTTGGTAGTTGCTTTAAGGCTTTTGCGCTTTTGCTCGGTATTTTCACTTTGAAATGCCCAGTGGGCATAAGTTTGGGCATTTGGATAAGAAAAGATTCTTTTTTAAAAGTGTGCAACTGTCCCTGTGCTATAACCTACGTTTGACAAGAGGCTGGAGCTCAGACACATTAGCACAACAAAAGATTTGTCCACAATCTTATAAAAACATACCCATAAATATGTGGTCTTTGAAGTAAGAAATATAGATTTGTCTTTCCTTTAGAAGTCTTCAAATAGTCTAAAACCAATCCTCACTATCTTCTATCACTGTTTCTTTGTTTACTTCAGTACTAGTACTGATAGAGAAAAGAAGAATCCATTTTAAAGTAACTGAGTTCTTCACAAATTGTTTTTAAATAACCAAAAGTCAAAAAAGCCTGTTCATAGAAGCTTATGAAGATGTCACCCTATGATAACCATGAAATGAATTCATCATTTTCCTCTGGTTTTCCCAGCCAGCTCTCTTTTAGGCACTCAGTGGAAATCTGATTACATTTCAAGACCAACACCATGGTGTGCATGGTCAGTCATGATGAAACAGCTACGGCACAGCTTGCAATGAAAAAAAAAAAAAAGTTTAAAATCACAACATAGAAACAGTGCCACGAGGTCACTCCAGTGTTACAAAACACACCAACAGAGGACATATGTTCCAACAGCGATGGTATCACCACTTAAAGATAGATTTTTTTTCTAAATACAGCTCATGTGTAGTATTACCGTCAGGCACTACAGAAAAGACAAAGCTAATTTTTTTTAGTATACTTCTGTTTCACTTTCCTAGGCAAAGAACAATGTCCAAATACAGGGAACACATTCCAAAAAATGAAGTCTCATTGCAGTAATCATACTACCTGGTGAATGACTGAAATGCAAGTGTGCTCATACATGGTATTTTTCTATAGGTACAAGAGGCTTCTTTTCTTGATACACTTTCTTAAAAACTTGAGAAGTGCCTTCTTCCCTTATCTCCACCTTTGCCACAAACCAAAGTTTATTCAAGACGTCTGTTACTTGTTGGTGTCAGAGACTGTTTCCCAATGTGATACTACTAGTGTAAAATGAAACCTGAATGAAAGAATTTGGCTTTTTTCAGGAGCCATGTGGTTACACGGGACAGAAACCTGTTAGATGCAATGTCTGAGGCACATCCCTCTAGCTCTCCATACAGATGGGGGGGGGGGGCTTCCTCAGAATGGTGAGAGCCCAGAGGACCAATTGTCTATTTGAACATATTTTTCATCACAGCCTTGCATTCGATAACTGAGAGCTAGTTTTAACGTGAGCTGGTGAGTCCAACATCTGTCCAATACCAAAGATATTGGCACAGCTTTAATGAATTGACATTTACATAGAGACATTTGCTATGGCACAACTTCCAAAAGGCATGCACAGAGATACTTGTCCCCTAGCCTGACACCATCAAATCTCACTGGCAGACCTAATTAAAACTAAACATGAACTTCTCACTCAGAGTCTACTTTTCCCACGTTCAGCTCAGTTTTCAAGATGACTGTCAGGTTTCTTAACCCACAGACAGACATACCTTGGTTATCACCACAGCTTTTTAAAATAAAAAGCATCAGTTTGGAGAGAGATTAGCTTTTCTACTAACTTCTCTTGCTCTGAGTCTTTTGATATGAAAAAAAAAAAAAAAAAGAAGAGCAAACCAGGATACTAATACATTTTTAGGAAAGAATAAATAAAATGGTTATCTTATAATATCCCATCTTAAACTTCACAGCTTTTGTACAGTATTCTGAAAAATACTTAGGCCTTAATGCTACGTTATGTAAAATTTTCAGCAACAAAGCCTGTAACTTATTTAAAACAATAATCGATTTAGTTGCTGGTTTTTGGATTTCTTTGCCTCGGAAAAAAAGCTATCAAGTGACATTTGCCAATCCATTTCTCTCTGCTCCAAATGTGCCTCAAGACAGTGAGTGTATCTGCAGGGTACAGGGAAGGCAGTGGCATCCCTCCTGGTTGATGTTGCCCATCGAGCTATACACAGATTCTTCATTTACAGTGAAGGCAATTAACAGAACACAAAAGATTGCCTTGAATTCTGTAACAGACATGCACAGCTCCTATGAAATGCCCCAGGGACACGGTTGCAGGCTCTTTCAAGATTTGAGCTGAAAATTTATCTCAATTCTTGAAAGGATCTGCTGCAGCAAAAAAACAGGCTCACAATAATTTGACCTTTACAGAAAATGCAGTTCTCTCCACAGGGCAAAATTCTTTGGTTCTATATTCATGTGCCAAGGATGCTTGGTAACCTCAAAAATGTTAAAATCCATTAGTCTTATTCTGAAGAGTGAAGAAATAGCAATTATCTATTTGGAAAAAAAAACACCCTAAAATTAAAAATCAGACAACCAACACAAGGCTAGTAAGTGACTCTCCCAAGCCACAGTAAGAATGACCATGTTTTATTCATAACTTAGCCTGCTGATGATTAGAGGAACTACTTGATCATGGGAGAATGTTTCCAGGAGAATTACTACCCTCCCTGTCAACCGCAACAACCACACTTCAGGAAAGAGACAAGCTGCTGTCTCGCCATTATCATCAATCTGATTAGGTTTCCAGCACAGCTAAATAATTGCTTGAAAGTCCTTTGCAGCACAGAAATCATCTGCTAGCCAGTTAAGATAGCATGGTTGGCCTTATTAAACTGGAAAATGTAGCTGAATTAAAAGAAAATTGACCATTCTCTGGACAGCTTCTAACATCCTCCCTCGTCCCCTCATCCATTCAGTATTTTCCTCAAGGATAGCATTGTTTAATCCACATGAAAGTTGATGTGAAACATCTTTGAATCTATAGGACAAGTTATGTTATGGTTACAATCTATATTTATGCTTATTTCATGAATCACCTTTCCTCATTTTGACACGATTCATCCCACAAAATTCTTGTCTCAAAAATACAAGAAAAAGAAATCAGGAAGTCCATGCAGATCCAAGTACTATGCCCCAGGAGACATAGGGCCTATGAGAGAACCAAAGTACATACCTTGGCATGATGGAGATCTACTCCATACATTGATAGTTTTTTGGCATTCTCCAGGAAATGCATCTCAGCTTCTGCAGGTGTCATTCCCCTGTGGAAAAGTAACCAGTTCTAGCATAAATGTTAAGGAAACAGAATCCAAAAGATAATCCAGCAGCTGGAAAACATTTTCAGCTTGTCAGAACTATAGCCATACCCCTTAGATAGCTGGGTAGCCAAAGCTCTAGTGCAGACCCTGTTAACTCACTTGCTGCAGAGCTCTTCTCTATCCAAAGACGCACAGAGGAGTCTTGCCAGGAAAACATTAAGTGCACCACTGCCGAATTTAACAGCTCCTGATGCACTAAGATGGTACCTGAAGCAGGCTAGAGCTCACACTGACGCCCTCTGCTTACCTGTGGCTCTTGTGCAGCTCGATCACTTTGTCCTCCAGCTCCTTCGTGTGGTTTGGGGCAAAGCGGAACTCGCTGATGTAGTCGCTGCCGTACTCGTCGGGGTCGTAGTCGCCGAGCTCCGACTGCACGGTGTAGGAGCCCAGCAGGGCCAGCGTGACGAACGAGCAGGGCAGCCGACCCGAAACGATGTCATCTCTCAGCTGCAGGCAGAGGTAGTACCTGCAAGGGAGCACCAAAGCAGCTCAGACTGCGCTCCTCCACCGCTGCCCCCAAAGGAGCACTGCCCGAGCTCTGGAAAGAGGCCTCGGTTCCAATAGGAATTTGCAGACAGCCAAGCCCAGAGATTTTTCAGCCAATTACAAGGACAATAATAATTTTGTAAAAACAACCCCAAAGTCCCCAAAACACCAAGTTCTTCCTTAATTTATCAGTAGGAACACCTAATTTATCTTTATACAGAAGCATGAAGATCTCTTAATAAAATAGGTTATTACTTTGTTTAGTGACCTAGATGAAGAAATACTCATTAAACATACCAGATTTCTATCTCAAATCACTTACATATAAAACTGCGTGATCATTCTTTAAGGAGAAAAAAATAATTAAAACCCTCATATACTGTTCATTTAAGAACAGCTGACCTCCACGTCATTCAAAAAACATAAGCTGTCTCTTTAGCAACATGTGTTTTCTCAAAAATATATTTAAACAGTAAATGCTGTTAAAACCACAGAAACATGCAGTGCAAGGTTTCACCAGATAGATAAATACAGAAAAAAAAAAAAAGAAGAGCACTGGTTTGGTGGCAAAGGCATAGCTCCCAGGGGAAATTTAAGAGTCTGAAGAAGAATAAAGCAATTCTTTCCAATGGAAGTCCTCTGTTCAATTGTGAACTCTTGGCACACTGTGTTTCTTTGCAGTACCTACCACAGGGGACCCTGATCTAGGCCAAAAGGCTTCATGCTACCTTTAAAGCAACAAGTAGTCCATACAGCCCTGAAGGTTAAAATATTCAAAGGTTGCAAAATGTTGCAACAGGCTGGGGAACAGTTTGCTGATGGCACAAAAACTCACTACAGATCAAAGTTTTTGTGCCTTCTTCCAAGGAGGAAATCAGGTGAGGCTTTGCTTTTTGGTTGTTGTTGCCATATGAATACAAAACCAAAGAGCAGAGGTGTAGAGGGCAGAGCTGAGTGAATTGGAGAGCAGAGAGCACCTATTAATTACCACCATATTCTCTATTCCATGCACATTGATTGCTTACTTTGTCAAATGATACACAAAATTTACGTGCATGCTTATTCTCATCTATCCTGGTTTCAGATGGGAAAGAGTTCATTTTTCCCTAAGTACATGGTACAATGCTTGCTCTGTTTTGGAATCAGTATGGTCATGAAACAGTAATAACTGGCAAAAATGGGCATCAGGCCTCTTTCTGAGTATTAAAATCAACTCTAAGGAATATACATATTGAAAAAGCTGGGGTTTAGGCTTAAACTACACAAAATACTTCATAACACAGAGGACAGACACTGTACATGCTGTCTTTTCTGTCAAAGTATTGCATATTTTCCATAAGCTCATATGAAAAAGAAAGACAATTGGAATATAAAACATTTATTTTCTTGTATAATTAGAGTTTAAGTTCTACCAGGAACAGCTTTTAAGCCACTTCTTAAAAAGGTATTTAATGTTTAAAACACCTGGTAATGTCTTCAGATAGCTGGGCAGGGTCTGGAGGGTAGAATTTCACATTAAATGCAAACTGCCAAGCACCACCTAGAAAAGAACATAGATTGCCTGAAAGTACACTGCAAATACAAACAGAGATGCTCATGCTATTCAATCACCAGTGGACTTAAAAATATCCCAGACAAGCAATTAATAAGAAAAGGTTTTAGAATATTTTTCCCACGTGTCGTACTGAAGGTGGTCTATTAGATCAGATTTTACAGCTCTTTTCTTATTTAGTAGGATTTCCACTGAAGTGAGGACTCTGAGTGAACAGTAATTTATTACTAATACTAAAAAAACCCCTCAGTCTGAGAACAAGGTTAATTGAAAGTAAGCCCCACACAGTCTGTACAAGGTTTAAAAACCAATAACCCAAAACACAGAGGCACTAGAAACACCACAAGCCAGAGTACGAATGGGCTCTGGAGCAGGGTGATTGCTGAGGTCTAGCAGCCCAAATCAGCATCCTCTCAGAGTGCTGCCTCAGCACACAGCTCCTTTCTTCAGCAGACATAAACTATTGTGCAGACAAAACTGCAAGGACAAACAGAGAGTATGACTGCAAAAGTACATAGCACTGGGGAAATCTTATTTAATTATTTCACTAAATTTAGTTGACCCACGGGATGGATACTGGTTTGTATCTCCTGAGTTAGCAAAATTATTTCTGGAGTGTTAGCTTTAAATGTTGTAAAAAAGTTATATCAAGATTTAAAAATAGAGTTGAACATGGTATGTAAATATAGAAGTTATTCTGAAAGAAAGGGTTAGGTTACACCAGCACATGACTTGAATGCAAATGAAAAGCAATAACAAAACCCCAAACCACACTGTTCGTACAAGCAACAAGGAAATTTTATCCCTTGAGAGGCCCCATCCACTTTGGTCATCCACACATCTAATCTCAAATGTTCAAGGCCGGGTTGGATGGGGCTTTGAGCAACCTGGGTTAGTGGGAGGTGTCCCTGCCCATGGCAGGGGTTGAAATTAGGTGATCTTTCAGGTCCCATGCAATCCAAATGATTCAATGATTCTGTGAATGTGCAAGAAGAGTTTTGATGTCCACCATCAGGACTTCAGCTCTTGGCAAGACTTTTGAAGTCCTTGATTTTAGGAACTTTTCGTTTTCTTGGGCCATAAAAGATGGTGAAAGGAAGATTTGGCTGTCAGCGAGGATGGGGCATGGTCCCACCAGAGAGTAGACCAGCCCCAAGGTGGGAATGCAGCCAGAGGTGACACCTGATTCCACAAGAGATGGAAGGGACTATGGCCTGTAAACCTATTCCTTGGCACAAAAAAATGAATCAAACCTATGATAAAGCCTATCATAATAGCACAGGTGGTTAAGACAGACACATAAGCAGTCTTCACCCCATATTTACAGGCTGGAATAAAACCTAACAATGTGCAAGTTAGTGGGTTATAATCAACAGGGTGTGAAGCAAGGGCCTTTCTCAGCCACCGGGATGAAGTCCCAGCAGTGTGGTCTGCATGTTGTACAACTCAACCAGCGTTTAGCAGGACTATATATATGTCTTTTAAAGCATTATGGGTAACAGCACTACTTTTCCACTGTTGGCCCATTCCAGACATCTGGGATGAATTGTACAGAGAAAATTATTAGTCATTTTCTGCAAATACAACTGTTCACTGCCTCAAGTCCAGGATGAGACTCTTCTGCCCTGGTTAATCTCCTGCTGTCACAACACTTCATTGTCTATTTCATGGCCTGGGTACATATTAAATGCATTTCAAATATGTGGTGGGGAGCTGAACTGCTTTACTTGCATTGACCATCTTTGTAACCTGACTCATCGTGGTCTAAAGCACTTTTCAGATCCATAACTTCCTAAGATTTAAAAAAGTTCATTACTTTGTATTGCAGATCACTTAGTTGTAATGAAAATAATACCGGAGGGAAAGGGGAAGTTGCTCACACTAAGTGGGGAAATTCTCCCGCCGGTGTAAATTAACCCTTTGAATCTTGGAGAGGAATGGGATTATTTGCTGGGCCTGGCCCAACAAATGTGAACTACCAGATACATTCGTTTGTGAAAGCACTAGTGCTAGAAGAGGTCATTTACAAAATATGCAAAGAAAAAAAATTACTGAGGCTTTTCTGCCCACAGAAGTCGTATTCATAAACATTTTGTCAATTTTTAAAAGTGAGGGGAAGTAAAAAAATGCAACTCAAGTTTTGAGCCCAGTAATCTCAAAAAGGTTTTCCTTTGAGAAGTTTTTGAATTTCTAATGTATGCCTAGTTATAACAATTGAGCTTTTCAAAAGATTCATGTGAATCAGAAAATTGACTGGTCATTTTAGGAGCAAAGATCAACCTTCTGAAATGCAAAAAAGAAAAGTATTTTAGATAGACTACTATCTTTGTATCAGTGAATTATTTCAGTATGGGGCATGAGCAGTGTTTCTGGATATGATATAAATATCAGTAATGCAAGAAATAATTCATATACATGGCCTAGTCCCTAAGGTTACATTGCTTAATGTCAAACTTCAGGATTTTGCATCTCTGCAAATGTCAAGTTGTTTTCAGCGATGCAAGTTCACGTGTTATGAGCATCAGTAATGCCTCACCATCATCATAGGGTAAAAAATCTAAAAGATTTAAAAATCTAAAGGTAGATTATTCCTTTGCTAAAAACTTGGGACAGGATACAAAAGATGACCATGAAATATGCTTTGTCCCCATGGGGGGACATGTAGAAGGGGGCAATGATAACAAACTTACTTCGAATCTGCTTCTTGATTTCCTTGGCAGGGTCCAACCAATTCTGCAAAGAAAATGTTTCCTTTTTTCAATTTGAATTAGAAAACACAATAAACATTATTTTTAAAACAGTGATATGAGTCAAAGCTAGAACATGTGAATATCTGCCATCCCATTCTCCTTGGAGCAGCAGTAGGCAGGGCTAACAATAATTTTCAAGATGTGGTCATGAGTAGAAACAGGATTTTTATTAACCTTCACAGACTTTGAGAGCCTGAATGATTTGAAATAAAAAAATAAAACATAGGAATTGGTAAAATGAACCCACAGAGATCTTTTTGCAGAGTATCTTCCAGGAAAACAATTTCTACAAGCTTGTTATAAAGGGGTGTTTTTGATCGATTTTTTTTCCTCCAATCCTGGAAAGGCTGAAAAGACTTGCTAGAGAATAAGAAAGTGCAGAATAGGGCACTACCGTGTTTGCAATGCAGCATGGGCATGCAGGGCTCCCTAGGGAAAACCAGAGGCAGAACCACAGCACCTCTGCCCCCATCCACACCATAGAGAGCCCAGTGACTATGCAAGACAAAACTCCTGCTGAGGTGGTGGAGAGCTATCCTAGTGATGTGTTAGTACTCCATGGATGCCAAGGAGCAGATGAAATTCCTCTGGAGGAGGCACACAGCATCTTGGGCTCTCAGTGCCTCTGCTGTCTTGACCTCTAAGATAATCAAATTAATATTTAAAATGCGTCACAGCCCAGAACAGAAAGTTCACTTTCCCCAGGAAAGTTCCACTTTCTCCAAAGAAAGATAAACAAATGTATCAGAGAGACAACAAAACACTAAAGAGATATCAAACAAGCAGAACACAACAATCCCTCCCCAACAAAAACAACCAGTTTGCAGCTGTCCAAACCTGCTCTGTGGTGCAAAACATGAGCCTGAAGATCTCCAGCTATTGCTGAGCACAAAAGCACACCATGCACCAAAAAATTAAAGACCCGTTAGGATTTCTGTTTACAATGGTGACATGGGATACAAGCACATATGTTGTCTGGCTGGAAGTTATGGGCCAGAGGATACAGGTGAATTGATAAGTACTTTGACATTAAAAATATGCATGTTATTGATCAATAAAAGTGGTGGCAGGCAGGTGTTCTTTTAACTGTTTAGCTCTGTAAAGTAACTGGTAACCCATAAATGTTTACTGCTTCTAAACCCTGTATTAATAATGAATCCATGCTTCTCTTTCCCATAGGAAAGCATACCTCTCTGAAAATGCACTTAGACTTCAACCTAGCTTTTCTCAAAACTAAGCATATGCTAAAGCATTATCTTGCACTCGCATGGACCAAGTATCTGCTTAAGTGATTTTCTGAATTAGAAACGAAGTCTGTAAAGAAAGAGGAATAAGAAACAAAAAGACTGATTTCTTTCATATCATATATATTTGAAACAAAAGGAAGCCTAAAGAAACTGTTGTTCCCACAAGACATAAGCAGCTAAAAAATTAATAATAGCTTCAGCTCCATCAGGGAAGACCTTTCAGGCCACACAAAGCACAAAATGCCTTCAGCTGGTGGGCTCTACTGAGCTACTGTGCATATTGCTAAGAAGTTTTGTACTGGCTTCTGTCAAAATATTTATCTTAAAATGCCAAAATAATATTTTAAATTATCCTTTGATACTCTCACCATACCATATCCCAAACAATGCATGTTTGGGACATATCACCACACATTAGATCATCTTCAACACTTGTAATACACAGCTTGTTTCATACTGAAGTTGGAATGCAGGACAGCAGAATGTGATTCACTATTGCTACCAATTGCTTCTGAAGACTAATGTCTTTAGTCAAATAAAAAATAACACTAAGATAAAGTCAAGGCTTAGAGCCTTCCCTTATCTTAGCAGTTAGCAGGAGCAGTCAGTCATCTCCTTCCTATCTGTGTCCCAACCACTATTATTGAGCCATATTTTAGTATTATATGTTTTGTAGTGTATGTGTGAGTGTAAATCTGACTTTCATCTATGACACTAAAGGAATAAATCATACCAGAAAGAGCACCAGCTATATGATTACAATCTTTCATGTCATAAATAGCCAAAAGAGAGGGAACCCAGAGAAACACAGGAGGTGCTCTTGAGAAATAGAGTCACAAAAAAATTGCTCAAGCTGTGTCTACGGAACTCGGCAAGGAAGATAAAACCAAACTTCTGGATTGTTTGCAGCTGTCTTGGGAGTGTCTCAGGGACTTCTGATGCTCACATGCCAAAGGCCACCTGCAGTTTAGTGGGTTACCTTTTGGTTTTCTGTGTCTCTGTATGTTAGCCCAAAATAGTCTTTTTCCAGAAGGTTCAGATGCTCACACACTTTGTCGAATAGCACTTGACCTCTGGAACGTTTCTGTGGGAAATGAACAGAAAACAAACAAAAAAGACAATTAAGTTTGCAAAATAAAGCATTAAAATAACACCTTTTCTGTCAGACCAGACCAGTAACCTCAAAATTATTCAAATAAATGCATCCATCTTTCCAACCTATTGACCTGGATCTTCATAAGAATCTGCTGAATGGGGCAAGACCTCTTTTTCTAAAACCTCAAATCTTCTTACAGAGTTAAAAACTTCCAATAGGAAAATCTCTTCTGTCTTTCAGAAACTTTAAGAGCATGATGAAGTCATACCTCTGCAAACCAAAGCAATTCTTTGTGTGCAAGTAGCAACAAAGAGCAGTACAAATTATTCCTGGTTATGGATTATCAGAGTTGTAACTAGGGGGGCAATCCACTGGAGGAAAAACCAAACATGGACACACTTCTTGCTCTGGTAACAGTGTGGACTGATTTCAGGACCCATTTTTGCCTAATACACAGGGAAATGTGATTACACCATCTATGGAAATCATGAACAGAGCCTAGTATCTAATTGGGAATGCAGCTGAGCAAAAACCTCAGCTTTCCAGTGCCCCACTAACCTTCTTTACTTACTGGCATATCAGATGAGAAGACCTCTTACTGTCAACATCCAGAGCCCTTAGCAGAAGCTTCCTAGTATCTATCATACTGGACAGCAAAAATTCAGGTCATCCTGTTTCTCAGCATTGTATGTGAAATTGACAAAATCTCCAGAAAACCAAACAGACAGAAATATCCTCTTTATAACCTTCACATTCCAACTTTGATATGTATTAACTATGATAAACAATTCGAAATTATTTGGGCCATATTCATCACTGTGTGCTTCCCTAAGTGCAACTCGGCTAAAGGAAAAAAGTCTCCTCATTTTATTCTGACCACAAGCACATATAAATATTTTAGTTGACGTCAGTGCAGCATTTTCTTTATCTGTAGCATACATATGACTAGAAGCAGACTGGAAATACACTACTTGCTTCAAAGGCAATGCAGGCAGCTGACAAAAAAGAGGAGAGAATGGCACCTCTAAATTTACGTGCCTCTGCCGACAGAGCTGCGCCCGGACTGCAGTGCCAGCCCAGCAGCTTGGCTGGGAGAGGGCAGCTCAAAATCCAAGCAGACACAGCTATGCCAACAAACCCATGGAGCCCAACGCTGGCCTCAAACTATTTTAGAAGTTGTAAGCAAGCCAAGAGAAAAAAAAGGAAAGAACTGAAGGTTGCTGCCTAACACCCAGTGAAAACATCGCAAGAGATGATGGAGGAAATTGTGCAGCATAATCTAATTTGTGTTAAATTTGGTATTTGTACTGGCATTCAAATGGTATGTTGAAAAGGACACTGGAAAACATCCTTTACATTTTTATCAATGGAGAAACTGAAGCATGGCCTAAAAAATGTTCTCCAGTTGAGAAAAAAAAAAAAAAAAAGCAAAAAAACAGGCCCAGAAGTGCATTTCAAGTGTATTCCTGTAACTTCATTTACTGTGCCTTCCAGCATTATTTGAGCAAACAGCTCTAGGGCCTTGTTCTGCATGTCACATGCTTTCCACCCTGTAAGTAGGAAGCATAAATATGCTCCAGCTCCTTTATAATGTCAAACAAATGTTTAGTTGATTCTTCACGCTCCAAAGTTGAAAGTAGGTAACAAGAGTTTGGTGGTTTTATACTTGCTGCTCTCTGTAGAGGAAGAGATGGATAAAAAAGATCTTAATACTGGTGTGTGGAGAGGAACCAACTCAGAAACTTCAAGCCAAAACTGCTTGCTATAAGCAAGCAGTGCTGCATTTTGCCAAATTTCTTGCTCTTCTACTTCTTAACAAACTAAGTAGTCGTACCAAATAGAGAAAAACAAGCAAGTTAGCTCTAGAGGACAGGGGCTTTGAAAAACACTATGTCTGTGCCAGTGCACCATTTACATGTATTCGAATTGTGGCACTTCAGTGCTCTCTTAATTTTAAGAGTCACTTAAGGCCAACAGAGGAGTCGTTTTATGTGGCCAATCCATGTAGCTGCACAGATGTCTTTTTTGAGAAATAGTAGCTAGCAGCTGCAAGGTATGGTGTTTTAACAGGGAATTACAGGAAACAGTTGTGCAGAACTGTGCTGTAATAAAAATCAAACGCCCAGAAAACCCCCAGTGCTCAGTATTTCTTGTTTGACTACACACTGCAAGCAAGCGAGAGTATCTATGGCAATCTGGAACAATTTTCATGGCAATGTAACGTCCTCTTCCTCCTCCTGTATGAAGATGCCCAAGTCGTAATTAGTCATTTTCCACAAAAATTCCTGCTGCACTGGCATATGGGAAAACCTTGCTGGTGGTGCAAGAGGACATGAGAAATACAAGATGTAACAGACAGCCCCTCCTGGCCAGGGTCTTCTCTTCACCATCACAAGGTAAGAACTGGTGATGGTTGAGGGAAATACCACTTCTCCTACAGAAATGGCCATTAGTGTCCAAACAGATGAGCCTCATGTTGTAGCCTCATCACTGCCCCTGAATGCCTGTTCTCAGGTCAGAGATGATCTGTGGGAGAAGGATTTATAGGACTCTGGTCATCTGAGGAGATGGGGCTGCCTAGAAATGGAGTCACCTCTGCTGCTATCCTAATGCAAGAGAAATGCTCATGCCCCTGCAGATAGGCAGCATTGCCACCTTGTACCCATGTGTTGTGAGCAGGCATACATTTTCTAAAGCAACATTGCACAGAAACATAGTGAAGGGAAGCTACTGCATAAATTCATGTGCAATTAAGAGGTTCAATTAGAAATATATAATTAAAGCAATTGAACAGACCTCTTTTGTCCTTGTTAATTATTTTTTATTTTACTGCATACCCAAATAACCATGCCATGAAAGGAAAGGATATCATTGCTTTGGCAGGGAGAGAATGGGAGGAGGAGAGAAAGGTCAACTTACAAATTCAAGCAACTCCTCAATCCATCTTAAACCTTCGCTTTCCATTATTTTAGAATGACAAGTCTAAGACAATGAAAGATTGACAGTCTGCTGGTTACAGTGGATCACAAGTTAATGCCAAAAATGCCAATCAATTCTTAGTAGTCCAAAAGATGTGGATCAAAAATAAATTAAAAAAATAAGACTGTGCTATAAAATACTGACTTTGTAAATGAAAAAAGTTCTAAAAGGTAAATCTGGTAAGAATATCCACTAGAAATATTCTTAGATATTTTTCAGGAATGAATAGGATGAAACAGAATGTGAAGATGTGAAAAAAGACACTTTGCTTAAGCTCTGGGAAATCAAGTAAACAGAAGGAATACAACACACAGATTAAACAGTAGAAATGAACACAAAGGTCTGGGCTGTTTTTTCACAGCCTCATCCCTGCAGGTCTATAATGACCAGGGTTCTCTCTTGAAGCTGGAATGGGAATAAACAGCCTCCTGATGAAGTTCCCAGTAAAAGGAGCCAGCAACAGCGAACTTGGCAAGCCAGTGCCTGCCAGCAATTCTCACACACAAGGAGAAGCAGCCTCTCTTCTCATCAGCTTCTCCCTAGTTTAGAAACTAAGTCTCTCTCTCTCTCTCCTTGGGATGCTGAAGGTCACAAAAGTCTCTCTTGTCCCCTGATTGGCTTCTGCACCATGCTCAAATCTTTCCACATCATCTTCTTCAGCTCATATCCCTCTATCATACCCCCATTGCCTTACAAGATCACCAGACCAAGATTGTGTGAACACAGAGTGAAGAGCTCAAAAATTCAAGTGCTTCCACCTTTGCTCTGCCTGGATAATAAGATTATTATCAAGTCAGCCAGCCCTGTCCCTGAAACACAATCATTTGCAGTCTTCCTGCAGGCCATTTTGGCATCCACCCTGATAATGCAGCTTGTGCCTCTTCTGATGCACTTCACCCTGAATGACCCACTTTCACTTGTTGGGTAACCTCCAACCTACAGGACCAGCCATCTTTCCTAGCTCTATGCCAGCTAGAGCCATCCATGCTTTCAGTACTCAGGCTTCTTTCAGACAGAATCTAACCCTCTATCTGCCCCTCACTGGAGGGGCAATGCCACTCTGGGACTGGTAGCTCAACACAGATGAGGAGCTTCTGTTCTCAGAGGGTTTAAAAGCATTGGCCAGACAATGTCACAGCTGGCCTGACTGCACCTGCTCACTGCCCTGGCCACTGCCCTGCTCATGTCAGGCGCCTCTCCAGTCCCTTTGAACCAGCACAGCTGTTCTACTGCAATCCCTGCACTCCTCCCCAGGTGCTAAGGGGTTCAGTGTCTGATTACAGGGTAGAATGTTGGTCTACTCCCAAGGCTCTATTTTTGCTCACTAGCAGATTACCATCCTCTCACTGAGAGGGAAACAGGATGAGGAGCTGACAAGCAGCAAGCAGCCCTCTCAGCTTCCTAGAAATGAAAACTATTGCAGCCTCCAAAGTGATGCACTTTGGGGCGGTTCTACTTTGGCATCCAACACTGCAGTCTCATGTGGGTGCAGAACGCTGAGCAAGGGTTGCTAGCAACATGGAATCAATTACAAGAGATCACATTCAGACCAAATTTTGCAGTGCTAGGGAAAACACAAAGTGAGAACAGAGTTCCACAGCCAAACATCTATATCAGGATTCATTTTTGCCATCAATAACCATCAACTCCACTGCACAGCAGCCACAAGGTCAGGACAGCCCGATGGACTGAAACTCCACTTCCCTTTCTGATCAGTCAAGGAGCACAGCAAGATGAAAATGTATCACAGCTGTGGACCTGGATTTTCAAAGGGAAGAGCTTGCATGTAACTTTCTGCACAAATACATATGCAAACGACCTTGCTGCTTTCCTGGGAAAAGCTGCCAAGCTGCCAGGGAGCAATGTCACACTAGTGCTAGCCTGGCTTCCAGCTCCATACAATTACTGTAATAGTTCCAGTTAGGCAGGATCACTGGAATAAGGATGAATAGACCAGTATCATGAAATCCCAGTACGAATAATTGGACTTGAACTGATGTTGAGGTTAT